GTTACATTATGAAAATGCTCCTTTTCGTTATTTATGCACTGTGTGAATGGGACAGTCATGAATACTATATCTCTGCAATATGTAAGCCTCTATCGGCAGCAGTGTTTATTGTATAATAGCCACAATACAAGACACAAGTGTTTTATTTATTTGCACCATAGCAACACCCTCCAACAATGGAGGACACTGCATATGTCATGTCTGATGTCACCACATGACCAGCCTGATCGTAGGGAAGCTTAAAGAAAAACTCCAGTGCCAGGAAAACAATCTGTTTTCCTGGCACTGCAGGTACCCTCTACCTCCCATCCCAAGTAACTGAAGGGGTGTCTTTTACCATTTTGAGAAAACCCCAAAGGTGAAACGCGTAAATGGTTTTAATAAGTGTATTTTAATCAATAAAAGTTATTTTTGGTTACCTTTTATACTAGGACCAATTGTATACTTATTTTTATTGTATTTTATACACTTTCTTTTACCCCTGGAATCTTATATATAAAAATATAAAGTTTTTTTATATATATATTTTTTTGTATTATCACTTACAATCTTATAGTTTTATCTATCCCCTTTTTTTATTTTTATTTTTTTATTATTTTTTATTTATTATTATTTTTTTTACTTGAAAGTATATTCCGTCCAAAGAAATCCTTAGGTGGGGATAATTCCACCAGCGCTGTGGCAATAGAGCAGTACCTATCTGCTCTATTCTTGTAAGTATAACTCACTTAAAGATATTACTTTGTTGTTCATACTGAGAGCACTATTTGCTGTTTCACATATACTCCGTGGACACCTACTATCCGATACTGGAAAGGCGGACCTATCTTCCAAGCATTAAGGAATCAACGCATATGTGAAGTAGATCCTAGCCGATACCACAGGAATTCCAAGCCGGACAGACGGACCATCCAAGTATAACCTAAGCGCAGCCCTTGACCCCCTCTTTTCTTGCATTTCTTACATAAGGGTTCCGTGAGGGATTTCCCTTCTAGGGTTGCTGCTCAATTGAATTAGCGCAGACTCTTCCTCCGTTTTGTTTCACTTACCTAAGACCCCGCTGATGTCCCTCGGCGGTTGTTTCGGGTCGGCGTCGCTCCTCCCAGTAACCACTTCAGCCGGTGTGCGAGACTGATCCCGCCCGCCGGCTGAGGAAACCTAATGCGCATGCGCGGCAATGCCACACACGCGCATTAGGTCTCCCCATAGGAAAGCATTGAAAAAGATTCCTATGGGGAACTGAGCGACGCTGGAGGTCCTCACACAGCGTGAGGACCACCAGCGACGCTCTAGGAAAGAAAATCTTTGCTATGAATCAGGAAGTGCCCTCTAGTGGCTGTATAGTAGACAGCCACTAAAGGTGGAGTTAACCCTGCAATGTAATTATTGCAGTTTATAAAAAACTGCAATAATTACAGTTGCAGGGTTAAAAGTAGTGGGAGTTGGCACCGAAACCACTCCAATAGGCAGAAGTGGTCTGGGTGCCTGGAGTGTCCCTTTAATCAATGGTATGTGAACACTGCAGAAGCACCCTATGGGTTTTTTTATTGGGGTGGTGCTAAGGCATATGAATTCACTTTATATTCTGTATATATGAGGGCGAGTTTGTGTTTCCTGTTTATAAGGAAACTATAGTGCCAGGAAAACCCCCTCGTGGTGCAGAAGGGGTTAAAAAGTCACTAGAGGTAGAGGTAACCCACCAAGGTAATTGTTGCAGTTTCTCATAAATACCATAATTAAAACTGCAGAGTTAAGGAACCTGGGACACTGCACCCAGACCTCTTCAATGAGCTGAAGTGATCTGGGTGCCTGTAGTGTCCCTTTAAGGACATTTGACATTGATAATAAGGCAATCCCAAATGTCTGTACATACTTTGTGTCCTTCAATAAACAACTTCTAGCACACTTTGTGCACTTTTTTCTTTAAGTTACTTGTATTACATTAAACTCGTTTTGGGGGGTGAGGTGCCACTGCACAGAGTGATCCTATATCTTTTTCTTTATTTTGGGTGCTGCAGTTATCCTACATCTTCTCCTATGTGGTTGGACATAATTGCGCGTGCGGTTCTTGCTGTGCATGCACATTCCGCTCCACTCGGGAGCTGACGTGGGCAGGGGAGGAGAGATCACCAGCGCTGAGGGAGCCCGGCGCTAGATTAAGGTAAGCTGCTGAACAGGTTTGTTTTCCTGACACTATAGTGATCCTTTAACATAACCAATTCACTAAATTCAGAATAGGAAAAAGCAGACTCAAAAAAATAAATAAATATAGCTTTACATGGATACTTAAAATTACCTATCTTATCAAACAAATATGGGAATTAGTTTACACCAAATGGACATATTGTGTTAAGCCCACCACTACGTAACACTAACTGTAATACTTACTGCTTAAACTGCCTCCACAGATTCTCCTAAATTTATGCTTTTCGGTGGTCACCTCCAAAGGAGGAAGGGTGGGGTTCCAAGCCCAATAGGAATCCTGTCTGGATTTCGTATATCTACAGAACCACAGGAAAGCATACATTTTTAAACAGCATGCTGATCTCCTATGTTAAAATTAGTACAGGACCTACCAATATTGCAGTACTGTGATGTAGTAGTGGGCTTTACACAAAATGGCCATGTGGTGTCACTTAATCCCCATATTTGTTTGCTAGGATAGATGAATTTAAAGGGACACTACAGGCACCCAGACCACTTCAGCTCATTGAAGTGGTCTGAGTAGTGTACTTATTGCACTTACTGCTGCAATGTAAAACATTGCAGTTTTAGAAAAAAACTGTAATGGTTACATTACAGCACTAAGACAGTCTCTAGTGGTGCTTCCGGAATGTTACCAGACTTTTGGTCCACTAACGCTGGACGTCCTCACGCTCAGCATGAGGAAATCCACCGTCAGCTATTTCTCATGGGAAATCATTATTTCAATGCATTAGCTCCCCCTCATCGAGTGACGGCAGAGGAGGCGGAGCAGAAATCCAGCACAGATACATCAGCGCTGGGATTAGGTAAGTAAATAAAGTATTTTTAACCCGCAGTGTTTTTCTTTTTTTAAAGCAGCACCACTACTCAGAATCGCATGTTCCCGGTGTATCCCCAACTCCATTTTTTTAAAGCATCATATGTGTGTTTTGGCTTTTTTTTTTGCATTTTTAGTGCTTTGAAAATTGGAGAGGGGTCATTTAAATGCCAGAGTTCCCTTTAATAACAGAGCAAAAACTGGCTTTGTACCAATCATAATATTATGTAGAGTATATTGGGCTCTGGCAAGATGGTCGGTTTTTATTAAAATATCAACAGATCAATTCATGTATATGTGAAGCAATTTAAAGGGTGAAATTGCACCACCAGCAGACAAGGGCTTAAAGTCAGTGTGACCACTGTAAAATCCCTGAAGTGGTCATGATGCTTCGAGTAATCCTTTAACTGCACTGGATAAAAAATAAAGATATCTTAATAAAGAATTTGATATTTATTTTTCTTTTCCTGTAGCTCTGGGCATCTGCCAGGCCTGGCTAAGCCTACCTGCAACCTGATCACCTGTAGGAATTTGCTCAGGATGTACTGATTTTAATAATTACATATATCATAGAAGAAACTTACAAAGACAATTAGTAATAAATCATATGCAGCTGCTGACTCTCACAAATTATGGGAAATGTAGTCCTGAAACTTATTTACAGCCAAGGACTTTTGATCAAACGTGAAATTGCCAAGAAAAAAACAAATGGAGATTCATGATCTGAGTATAAATGAAAAACACTGTATTAGTGACGTACACCAATCCGAGGTACATCTGTACAATGAATTCTACCTCAAAAAAATTAAAATCTTTACATCACATTCAAATTGTATGTCTCTCTACATATTACTTGTATATAATGTCCACCTGCAGGATCTGCAAAACCTTGCAATTAGTCTGTCCTACAGATATGCATAGATACAGTTGTTTTGTTAAATTTGGTTTGGAGGTAAGACAGTACAACAACATAAAATCTCTAAGAAAAAAGGATGAACAATTTCATGCTGGTAAGAGCTTTCTAGGGAAAATCCACTAAGAAATATAATACTAAGAGGAAAAGTATACATTCAAATTTAATGCTCACTGAAGTTAATATTTTTTAAAAATTAGATTAGGGAGCTGAGCCAAGTCTATGCAATTTGTTTGTTTTCTTCTCTTTTGTCTTCAACTACAATGCATTTACTTGTGTGAACATATTTTTTTTTCATGCTAATTCTGCTTAGTTTAATTATGAACAATGTAAATGTATTAGTGTTTAATAACATCGCAAGACACAAAACGTAATGTGTGTAAAAGAGTTAAACGTACAGGCATTCTACTCGACATCATTATACCAAGTTATCTTGACCCAGACCAAAATAATGAAACATTTGGTATCAAAATATTGCAAAAGAAAAAATATATAAAAATAAATTAGATTAACTGCCCTACTGAAAATAGTAATAGCTTCTTTTATTAATGTCAAAATCAATGAACGATTGAAGGCTATGAGATATACCACCATCTTTAAATGCAGCGATAATAAGATACATCCAAATTCAAAGTTTCCACTTGACCTCTCCAGAAAGTTGTTTGTGGCATAGAGTGCAGATGAACAATTTTCATCAAATGAATAGAGGTAACGAATTGTGAAATCAGCTTATTTCCTTGTAAATTCAGGATTCTTGGGTGATATTTTACAACCCTACATATTGCTTTCTTGATGTTAGTTTAATCACCCATATTTAAAGTACACAAACTCTACATCATAAAGAGCAACCCATGGTTATATATCAATATGTACTGAAACGTTCAAACTAGTATTTAAAAATCCTTACCTCTTATTGTTAATTGTTGCAGGGTGCGATCTTCTGGGCTGTAACAGATCTTATCCAAGGGACCACCACATTTTCCCCCAGTTACAGGTTTCCAAAGTTAAAAATTATTTTAGCTGCTGCTGAAGGCCACAAGCAAAACAGAACTAACATTTACTTCTTCAGTGAAGGTGCAGGAATCTGCTTATGAACAGTCTAGAGATCTGCAGTAGAAAATTATTCTGGCTTTCTTCTCCAGCTAGGATTCTTCCACAAACACCTAGCCTAAAAATTGGAAAGAGAAAGCAGAGGTGAATTCCTTTCCCTCTGCATACTTTAATACCTAGCTAGTTAAAAGTGTTCTGCTAGGTGAAACAGTTTCATGGGAGAGCAGAAGTTTGCTGATATGTTTTCTTTGAGTCTTTGCTTGGTTTGTAATATGAGGTGGACAGCTCCGGTGGGGAAAGGGATATGACGTCTGAGCTCTTGAAATGTGACTCTGTCTCTCCTTCTAACACAGACGGTTAACCCATCAATCAGGGACATTATGGCGGGATTCCAAGAGACCTCATAAAAAGGACCCTTTTGGCCTGCAACTGATTTCATGGAACTAATTTCAGTGTGATACAATGACAAGTCATTTCAGTGCGTCATGAATATTTTCTGGCGACTAGCATAAATTCTCTTTAGCACAAAACAAAATGGGTCAATTGTGTGTGAATTTCAAAAGAGCAATGCTTAAGGCCACTAGAAAATTATTTTCATAATTGCTTATCATAAGAGACAAGAATCTTTTTTGCATGGTTCAACTTATTTGCCTAATTGGAATGGGTATTTTTTTTTTTTTTTATTCCAGTGCTAAACTTTCTAACATGACTATTAGGGATTTTGGAAAATATTTATGCATAGTTTTTTTAGCCTGCAGTAAAACATATATACATTGTTTTGAGTTGAATGATCTTGCTATTAACCACCAAGAAAACAGCAAAGTCTCCACTGTACTACAATAAACACTTGCAAACTCTCGCTGTAACGAAAGATGTCAAAAAGAAGGTAGATCCCCTGATGTTGCAGAACAACTCCCGGCCTTTAGAATGGCAAAGCATCATTTATGTTGCAGTTCTAGAAAATCTTGGGATATACCTTTTGGGCACCTCCGCTGTAGACCTCAGATCTAAATGTTGATAAATCATGAACATTCATTTTAATTTTCATTGTGATTGGTCCAGTTTTAAATACTGTGCAAAAACTTTATTGAACTAGGTGCCTAGATCAATTTTGTATGGCTAGTACAGACAGTTTTCAAGTTATATGCATTGTCTCCATAGTCTTCCTTTAGGAGAGGAGATTAATTAAAACATAAAAGCCATTGGATAACAAATAAGGCCAAAAAAACACAGTCATATGTAAGAAAAGAAATAAAAAAACAGTTAATTAAGTAAAACTCTAAACACAAACTTACTCATAAGTTTAAATACTACAAGTATTAGACAAAAAGGCAGAAGTGTATTTTTGGTGTAATCATTAGATGTTACATATTTTAAGCTTAGTTGGATGTCTAGTGTTATACAAAGTCTCTTGTCAGAACGACTGGTGGAGAAGAATGCTGACAATCTACAGTACTTGAACCGTAATCCTAAAAGATCACCAGGCCCATTATACAGTCGGCAGCAGTATATTTTCAAGCGATCACAAGTTCTCATTTGTTAATGAGTGAAACAGTTGGTCTTGTGGTGTAAAAAAACCCTGAAACCCAAGAACCATACATTAGATGTGATCTGCTGACCTTAGCCATGAGACTGTGGTTGAGACAGAGAGCAGACACAAGCACTGCACTCTCTCCAGGGAAGAATTGCAATAATGCAGCACCCATTTGTGCTGTCAGCATGGATTTAGAATGCTGCTGAGACTAGTTTAATGTTCAACAAGCCCAACTGGATTGAGAGAGTAGTGGGCCATGTTGTTTACATGCAACAACTGATTAAGTTTTCTTTATTTTTATCATCATCAATATGAGCCAACATATTCTGCAGCGCTTTACATTAATATATGGATACAGGGTGCGCCAAATAGAACAGATAAATAAACTATATATTTAAAAATGTAGGAAGGTACCAAAAGCAAGCAATTAAAGTCTATAGGTTTCAATTTTCTTCAGGTATTCATGTGACGACTTGGGTCAAATCATCAACAGCATATTAAAAGGACAAAAGCAGAGGAGACCAATGGTGCAATGACGTAGATAAGTTTGGCTTCCGACAACACTGAAGTTAAAAAGTGCCAACCCACGTTTAAAAGAGCTATAACCAGCACCAGGTAAACCAGAGGCATTTAAGCTCCCCACATGTAAGATATTCCTCTGATGGTAGGTGCAGTGCAGGTCATATGTAATAAAAGCAAAAGAGAATGCCCACTCCATATGCAAGTACAGAATTTAATAAGATGTAGTTACAATTTTTAGAGCAGGCAAAACCGCTCTATGTGACAAGCGCGGGTGGAATAATCCCCACCTACGATTCTTTGGGTGATGGTTCTGGTGCTTCAGATAGAGTATGCCAGGTTAAAGTAGATATTAAAAATATGAAATAAAAGTGTAAAAACTGACCCAGGTATATAGGTAGTCAAAACAATAGGTTTTATTAAACAAAATATAAAAAACGTGTTTCGCCCCAATAAGGCTTTTTCAAGTGTAATAAAAACAATAACCTGGCAGCATACATTTATATGATATCTAAATAACAGAAATTTGAATTCTGGCGCCAAAATTACATTGTCATGTAACCATAATCACATGACTTTGTGTAATACAGTACATATAAGATATTGATACAGATTTATGAATAATGCAAATTTTTTATTCCAAATATGACAAGGGCCTTTCAGAAGAATATAAGGAGTTGTGTCTTTGACTGTTAAAAATAAAGGATTTTGGCGGTATTCTTCCAGATCACGGCAGCCGCATGCAGCTGAATTTAATTATAGAAATATGAAAAAATACTTTATAGAAAAATATATTTAAAAATTACTTAATGTATCTATAAAAAATTAAAGAGATCAAAGTCTGCATTTAAGCCCTCTAGTACTAGTGTTTTTAAATTAAAAAGCCATTCCATTTTGTTTCTCCCTAAATCTTCCCAATTTCCCTTTTACAATAAGTCGCTGTAAACACATTCAGCCATATGCGGCTGCCGCGATCTCGCGGAATACTGCCCCAAATCCTCTATTTTTAACAGTCAAAGACACAAATAACTCCTTTTCTTCTGAAAGGTCCTTGTCATATTTGGAAAAAAAAACAAAGCTAGCATTATTCATAAATCTGTATCAGTATCTTATATGTAATATATTACGTAATTGTGGCACCAAAATTCAAATTTCTGTTATTTAGATACCATATAAATGTATTCTGCCAGGTTATTGTTTTTATTACACTTGAAAGCCTTATTATGGCAAAACGCATTTTTTAATATCTAGTTTATCTGTTCTATTTGGCGCACCCCATATCCGTTGTTCTGTCTCTCCAGTTTTTTGAAGGTTACCCTTACCTTCAGGTGTGCAGCCTCTTTCACTATTGTGTTCAGTTTTGCAGCGCTGTTCCACTCCATCTCTCTTTTTGGTTTACATTTATAGAAAGGGGATTCTAAGAAGGTCCTGCTCAGATGAGTTTACACACTACAAAGTCTCATTAGTAAAAATAAGAAACAGCTAGTGACTCATTGGCTGGTACAGTGTCTGATATTCGAATGGAAGGGAGATTATAAAAAGCAGCATGTAGCTATATTCTTATGTTGTGCGTACAATATAACAATATTTGCCTACATATTAACTTTGGCCACATGAAATGCCTGGGAAATTCTGAAAATTCTTCACTTATTTTGAGGATTATCCACTAAACTTGAAGATAATGAGGACTTATAGGGTAACACAGCGGAGTTGGGATAAAATCCCAAATTGTATTTTAATTTCCAAGTGCTCACAATTTCTCTTAGATTCTGGGGAATATTTTCGCAGTCCTGATAAATACAGCTACTTTATTGGTCCACTTATGAGATTTAGAAATAGAAATATATCCAGCCCTAACAATTATTATTAGCATTTAAATATCACCAGCGTATTCCACAGCGCTTTACAATATTATAAAGGTGAAAATTAACAATAAATGAGCCAATTACAAATTGTTACATGAACAATAGGTTGATGAGGACCCTGCTCAAAAGAGTTTACAATATAATAGTCTACTTACAACAAGCCCCTCATCTAACCAATTTATCAAGGGAAAACTGCTTTGCTTTAATGTCAATCAACATGAAGTTGCTTCTTCTACGGATATCCTCTAGGCACAGGATGAGATTCTAAAAGAGCTGATGTGACCCCTTGTTCTAATTTGTTATTTGTTATATGCTGTGAAATCCTCTTGGAAGGTAACTTGGTCCACAGGAATTATCACTCCCTCATCTGTGACAGGCAGCTGTTCTAGAGAAGCAGTCTGATGACACCAGACACACAGTGTGTGCCAAACCCAACTAAATGTCTTATATATAATTAACCAAACATCTGTTCTACTTAATAAAACCATTTAAAAACACTTCCCCAATCTTGAAAGTAACATGAGAATGTCTGTCTGAGGAGGAAAACGTAAAATATCAGTCTAACCAATGGTATGAAAAAACAAAATACGCATATACACATAAAATAATAATTATATATTTTACACACACAAAACACATATGTGAATATATAACTATATCCATTTTTATTAGTAGTAAGCATCCAAAAGTGAAGAAAAAAATTGAAAGAACATTTAACTCATGGTTCTCCAAGACTTAGGGTGAATTATCTTGAAAACTAAACTGTAAATTTGGGATGTCTTTATTAGCTGACAATTTAAATATTAATACCAATTAGTTGCTAGTGACACGTCGCTAACAGTCACCCTGTAATCTTTTGGTCTCTAAAATTATTTTTTTTATTAGAGTTGATATATTTACTATGCCAAACAATTTATCCTTGACTTACACAATTATGTAGAAAGAAATTTAAGGAAGCAAAGCCCCAATGGCAAAAAAATGCTATACAATTTAAGCTATTCACCAAGTATTGAATTTGCAGTAGAAAATGCAACTATCAGCATACAGAGGAATTCAATTTGTTTAATTGAGATTTACTCCCCTTTTCAAGTTAAATTGAAGGAACAAGAAACTGAAATTCGCAAATTGTGACTTAAATTGTGCCCAAACTGGGACAGAATATAACAAAAAATGTTTGGAAATTACAGTTCTAAACAACACCTATACAAGAGAAAAAAAAAAGAAAAGAAAAGTACTAGGGTGCTTAAAATATTCAATTGAAAGTGCTATAGGTGAAAGTGCACATCATTTTTTGTTCTTCTGCAGCCATTTAAAATGTCCAAATAAAGTGCATCAAAATAATCACAATTCACTTCAAATGCCGAAACAAGACCAAATTTCTATTTGTATCCATGATCAATTGTTTTATTTGATATACCTTATCCATTTGTTTGCTGTCAAATTATTTTACATTTTTATTTAATTGTCTCTGTTCCCCTGCATGCCAGGCAATTCTCACACTGACAAAAAAAACAACCTATTTTCATTAAATGCATTCCTATTTTTCCTTAACCCGCTAAAATAACTTTTAACCAAATGGATCTTTATACTAGATGCTCCTCTAAAGGGACTTGAAAATGAACCAATCAGGAAGATCCATTAGAGATTTCACAATAGAAGGAGTACTTTTATAAGGGGAAGATATACCCAGGATTGATTGTTGTAAAAAGCCCACATGAGCGGGCAATAGGCTTCACGACTGACAACTGCAGGAGGTGGTCCTGGAACTCCCTGAGTGACCGGAGCACTACAGATTGTGGACACCAGAGGAGCAAATTGAAATTCGGTCAGGTTTTGGTGTTTGAAGTGAAAGGATCACTATAGTGGCAGGAAAACAAAGTGGTTTTCCTGACACTATAGTGCCCTATAGTGGCGCTAAAGGGGTTAAAACCCCTTCAGCAGCTTACCTTATTTCAGCACCGGGCTCCCTCGGCGCTGGTGACCTCTCTTCCCCCCACCGACGTCAGTTCCCTCTGCATTTCTCAATGCTTTCCTATGGACGCTCTGCGCGATGGAGCAGGTTTCTGGTACGGATTCTTGTGTATTTTGACCTTGACTTTCCTACTGACTATATGATCTCTGTATTCCTTAACCTTTGGCTTGGCTCCTTAATATTCTGGCTTCTATAATCCTCGATCTTTTGCTTGTTAATATTTTCCGTGATTTCTGTGTTCTTTGTCCACAGCCTGTCTTGTGGTTTTTCCTTTTATACGTTAAATTCGGTCATTCTAAGGCCCGGTAATACGTCTTAGGGTTTTCTTTATTTTATACTTAAGTTCTGCGTGTTGGGCATTAGTTTATCCTGACAGAGCCTTTCTCACTGCAGAAAAAGTATGCAGAAGAGGGGTTCAGTTTAAAAAAGAAAAAAAAAAGATCTAATGTGTGGTTAAATGTAGTTAAATGTATATATTACTGCTTTTTATTGTGTTTTTAAAAATTACTTGCATTATATATTTCATGTATTAATTATAACTGCTTGTTCTCCAATATTTTGTATATTTGTATTTTAAATGGTTTTCACTACATGTTTAAGGACAAGTCAAAAAAAGGCTAGTCTTTGTTCAAAATAAAGTATTTTACAGAAGTTCTATTGGGAATAGTGCATACCTTCAGACCTGCATGCTGGCTGCACTATTCTTTGGTCCCGAGGACGTATCATGAAAGAACCAGGCCTGATAGCCCCTAAAGCAGTAGTTGGACGCATGACAGGCAACGGGGTCAATCAATGCCAGGGAGCAGGCCGACAGGAAAAGAGCTTGCCCATCCATCTTTTCCCAGGCAGGTAGCAAAGAGGTCGCTGCCTGGAAGGAGTAGGTGTTGGCAGATGTGTGTGCACACAGAGACAAGCTGGGGGAAATATATAATATGACCCTGTCTCAGTGATGATCTCTGATGTGGCAGACCCACATCCCTGGTGTTTTTACACAGGAGATGTAGCAATGCTTATATGTTGCCTAAATCACACCTATAGTGCTTGTCAAACTGACTACCACGAGAGGTAATTTCCTTTTTAAGGGCAGCGTGATGGACAGCATCCAATGGTTCTCCAACAGAAACATTAGCGTCAATACTTCACTATAAGAAATATTAAATGGAGTATGAAATACCATGCATGTACCCTATCCCACCAATACTTTTTTCTGAGAAGCACTGGATTCAACAGCAGTCTTTAGAACTGATGTCTTCACCGACAATGGACTGGCTGAAGAGAACAGACTCTCCCAGCATTGAATTAAAGATAGATTTTTATTGATTTTTACATCTAGGCTAAACATTTTTTTGCAAGTTTGATTAATTCACTTCTTTGCATATGGTGAAAGTCAATGGAGAAGACTAGTAAATACAGGTCTGTACTAACTTAAAGTAAAACAACCATCAGAGCATTCATTCTCTCCTCCTGCTTCCAGCAGCTGGTGATGTCTCTCCCAGGGCCCTTCACCTTCTCTACACACACTAAAAACCAGTAACCCCACAAACCTCATCACAATACCCTGCTCTTTACCATCACTTACCAACATTCAGTATGCACTCTGGAACACTCGCTCCATCTGCAGTAATTTAACATCAACAGCCATACACAACTTTTTCATCTCAAACTCACTACTTGCACTTACTGAGACCTGGCTGTCCCCCTCAATGTACATTTCAACCAATCATAACTCCCCCTGCCCTATCCTTTTCTTCTTTTGAAGTTCACACTGTCCACCTATTTAAACCCACTCCTTTAAGAACTGCTATCATCTACTGCCCTTCCGGTCATCCTAGACAATTCATTGAGCACTTTTCTTCCTGGCTTCCCCACTTCCTCTCATCTAGCACTCCTTCCATTATACTTGGGGATTTCACTATCCCAATCAACAACCCCAATTGCACTGATGCTTCTCGTCTGCTCTCTGAAACCTCCTCTTTTGGCCTTACGCAATGGACCAATTTAGCAACCCATACAGCAGGAAACACTCTTGATCTCGCCTTCACCAATCTCTGTGCAGTCTCTATTCTCTCCAATATTCTGACCACAATCTGCTGACTTTTGACATCAGCATATCTAAGACCCAATTGACACCACCGCCTGAACATCAATCTCACAGAAACCTCCAATGTCTTGACCTAGAGCATTTCTCCACTAATCTCCAAATTCTTCTTTTACCCATCTGAAACCTCACCTGTCTTAGCTCTGCAACCTCCTTCTACAATTCCACCCTCTCCTCTCAAACTAGACATCATGGCGCCTCCTACATTTAAACGCAGCAAGCGCCCCCAACACCAACCTTGGCGCACCAAGATGACACGATACCTCCAAAAATGCTCCAGAACTGCTGAACGCTGTTGGAGAAAGTCTCACTGTGAGTCTGACTTTCTCCACTATAAATTTATGCTGCACACATACAACTTGGCTCTTTCCTCTGCAAAGGTAAATTACTTCAATACCCTTATAACCACACTCTCCTGCGAACCCAAACAACTATTTCACAAATGTAACTCTCTTCATTGCCCTATTGTTCCTTCTCCAGCTACTAACTTGACCGCCTCAGACTTTACAACTTCACTGACAAGATCTCTACAATCAGGGAAGGGATCTCTCATCTTTCTTCTTCCCCTTACAATACTTCCCCTAACCTCACTCCCTCTGCTGTTTTATATTAATCCGCACCCGCTACAGCGGAAGATGTTTCTACTCTGCTCCAGTCCTCCCGCCCCACCACCTGCTCCCTAGATCCAATTCCCTTGCATCTCATCCGTACTCTCTCATTCTCTCTCTCTCCTCTGGCATATTTCCATTGCCCTTCAAACATGCAACTGTAACCCCAATTCTAAATAAGTCCAACCTTGGCCCTAACTCCCTGTCCAACTACCGTCCTATCTCGCTACTGCCTTTTGCATCTAAGATCCTTGAAAGAGTTGTGTATGCGAGATTGACAGACTTCCTCGGGTCCAACTCTCTGCTAGACCCACTTCAGTCTGGTTTCCGCGCTAAGCACTCTGTGGAAATGGCACTGACCAAAGTATCCAATGATCTACTCACTTCAAAATCTCGTGGTCACTACTCTATCCTAATTCTCCTTGACCTTTCTGCGGCATTTGACACTGTTGCTCATCAAAAGCTTTTTCTCATCCTCCGCAATATTGGTCTACAAGATATTGCTCTCTCCTGGTCCTCCTTGTACCGCTCTTTTAGTGTTTCTTTCTCTGGCTCTGCTTCTTCTCCCCAACTCCTCTCTGTTGGTGTCCCCCAAGGTTCAGTCTTTGGTCTGTACTCTATCTATACTGCCTCCCTTGGTAAACTAATTTCTGGATTGCAATATAATTTCTATGCAGATGACAAGGATCTCTCCCCGTCCCTATTGACTAGTGTATCTGACCGCCTCTCTGCTGTTTCTAACTGGATGGCTGCCCACTTCCTTAAACTCAACTTGACCAAAACTAAAATTCTGGTCTTTCCTCCCTCAAGTGTTGCTACTCCTGTGTCTGTCTCCCTCCAAGTCAACGGTGCTACCATCAGCCCTACAACACAGGCTTGCTGCCTAGGTGTTCTCATTGACTCCAACCTCTCCTTCACGACTCATGTTCAGTCTATCGCCAAATCCTGTTGCTTCCATCTTAAAAACATTGCGCGCATCCGACCCTACTTAACGACAGATGCGACTAAGCTGCTGGTCCATTCCACTGTCCTTTCTCGCCTTGACTACTGTAATCTGCATCTCAGTGGTCTTACATTCTCTCAACTTGCGCTGTTACAGTCCATAATGAAAGCAGCGGCGAGGCTCAATCTTCCTGTCCGCCCGCACATCCAACACCTCACCCTTCTGTCAGTCTCTACATTGGCTTCCTGTAAGATATAGGGCTCAATTTAAAATTCTGGTTCTTGCTTTCAAATCTCTACATAATGATACTCCAATCCATCTATCCTCCCTAATACACAAGTATGTCTCGTCTAGGCCCTTACGTTCTGCTGAAGACTTACGTCTATCTTCTGTTCATACTCCCACCTCTGATGCTCGCCTTCAAGACTTCACGAGGGCTACACCGTTCCTGTGGAACTCACTTCCCTCCTCCGTTAGATGCTCACCCAATCTCCACTCCTTCAAAAAATCATTACAAACCCACTTCATAAAAGCGTATCAATTAAACTTAATAGCTCCCGACTGATTAGTCTCTTGCAACTGTCATTAGTCTAATACCATCCTTCCCTTTTGTGTCACTTTACCCCACTCCCTCTAGCATGTAAGCTCATTGAGCAGGGCTGTCAACCCATCTGTTCCTGTGTGTCCAACTTGTCTGGTTACAACTACATGTTTGTTTGTTCACCCACTGTAAAGCGCTGCGGAATTTGTTTGTTAATAATAACAATTGTTCTATATCTTTGCTTGTCCACTTAGTTTCCACTACAAAAAGTAATCAAAACAGGACAATTGAAATAAAGGAGGGAAGTGAAGCATAACTAAAGGCATCAGTGCACAAGTAAAATGAAAGGAATTTATGGGCTGTCACCATACTGAAAAAAAAATGTCAGGGAAACCCAGTGTAGACCGCATAAACACCACTAGGAAAGAGATGAAATATTGCAAGAGAAAACTAAGTTCATTGTATCGAGCCCTTGTCACTGCTTCACTTATGCCTATCTTGTTTTATCTGGATTATTAGTAAACTTTATTTACCACCATTTACCCAGAACACCACCAAAAAATATGTTGGTGGCTTCAAAATAAACATAATAACAAATGTAATGGAAAGTGAAACCCATGCGTATACACCATGCATTTGCCTGCTTTCATAATCCAAATAAATATATGCCAGTATTCCCACACAGCTTGATCTATTCACTAGATATAGGCCAAACTAGCCAAATAGGAAATAATCTCTCGATCAAATATTTCCTAGTCAGTTCTCAACAATTCTTAGTTGAATTAATAAACCCTAAATGATAACCCATGAGTTAAAGATATTGACAAAGTGTGTGTATTTGGATCTTAACAAAGTGTTTATATTTGGACATAAAACGCGTTCAGTGTTACTCTAGGATTTATTTGTAGCCTTACCCCCCACCCCCGTTATATTAGGCACAAAGAGTATTTATTTATATGTTTATCATTGCCTCTATTTTGGCCAGAATATGTCATGTATGCAATAGTTCCAACAAATTGGCACAGCAAGGAATGCTTTGTTTTATTTTTCTTTGATAAGTGAGGTGTAAGCACTTGAAATGTTGTAACTGTAAATTATACTGTATGAACATAGAAAAAATAAAAATAAATTGGGAGAAACAACCAAGTATTAATCCATCAGCATCTTCCAGATTAGCTGTACAGCCCTGTAAACCATATTGCTTGTTCTGTGAACACTGTATTAAAGGAACCCTCGGGGCACCATAACAACTTATTGAAATTAAGTTGTTATGGTGCCAGAAGGTCCTGACACTTCTTTACCTGAAGGGGTTTAGTGATAAAGGTAGCTCTCCAGCACCATTCCTCGCTATCCTAATTGACATACAGTGTCTGAAATTCAGCAAGAGGAAACACGGACTGCCACTACTAGGTCATCTGACACTCTTGGCCAATAAGTAGCTTCCCATTCCTGAAAACTGCACTTTTTTATGAATGGGGAGCTACTGACTGGCTTAGAGCTCTGTGCTTTCTCTAGCGGACTTTAAGACACAGGTCATCACTGGGGACAGCGAGGGATGGCACTGGAGAGCCAGCTTTGGGTTTAACCTCTATAAATAAAAAAATAAATGAAAAGCATCCGGGACCTTCTGGTACCATAACAACTTTATTTCAATTAAGTTGTTATGGTGCACTTTATGTACCTTTACATTATTTTACTATTTTTTTGTCAATACATCACAACAGAAAAGCAGATAGTTCTTTGATATCAGTTCTGGGTTCCATACATAACACTATTTTCAAATATTTTAATTTAAATATGTCAGGCGCTATCAATATTAAAATGAAATAAAAAATGTAAACAACACGGTTACATAAAAACCCTGACATTCAATGCCAGTAGTACAGGGATAACTTGGTCAATCTATGGTGCATTATGACTCTTACTTCCGGACATCTAATCTGACACCAATCTGGCTCAGTGGGATCATTGCCTGCAAGTTAAACTTACTTCCTGCGTGACCCCTGGAAGTGATATGCAGGATGTAATGGGTCAGCAATTCTCAGCTACTTAATGTGAAAGTCTTGAGCATAGTATTGACCTATAAGTATTTTTATGTAAAAGGTCTGTCCAACCCGGATTGCTCTATTAATAAACCTAATTTGTAGTCAGATTAAAGTAAACCTGTCATTTTTTAATATTAGTTAAAATAAACTATTGCATGTAAAATAACCACAGTAGTATTTTACAATGAACATATATCCCTGTCCTTTTTACAGGTTTAGTATTTCAAAGCCACGCTGAGGAAAAAGAGGGCAGAGATTGGATGTGTGGCAAAGTCACAACAGCATCTCATCTTAAGGTATGATATAAGGAATACAAGGCCTCACCCCGGCATTGTAAGGGTTAAAAAATCCTTACTGTACTCATTTGAATCCAGAGCATTGCTGATCTCCCTTGAAGCTTTGCCTCCTCCGATGTATTTAGTATCTCTGCTGCCCTAGGCATGATGGAACTCGGGCACCCCACAATTTATATTTGCCCCACCCCTTCCTGTTAATGCCACACCTCTTCCTGTTAAACGACTAACACACACTTTGACTGACACACTCTCAGATCCACTGACATACACACACTGATTTGACACAAACAATCACTGACATACACACAATGACACGGACACACACACATGCACTCAGACACACAGGCGCCCTCACAGACGCAATCACTCAGAAACAAACACATTCACTGACAGAAAGCCACACAGTGACAGACACACAGACATACACACACACACACACACACACAATGACAGCCAGACATACACCCAGACACACACACACTGACAGCCAGACACACACACACTGACAGCCAGACACAATCACTCAGATACACACTGACAGCAAGACATACATACAATCACTCACATACACACTGACACACACACAATCACTCACATACACACTGACACACACACACAATCACTCACATACGCACTGACACACACAATCACTCACATACACACTGACACACACACAATCACTCAGATACACACTGACAGCCAGACATACACAATCACTCAAATACACACTGACAGCCAGACACAATCACTCAAATACACACTGACAGCCAGACATACACAATCACTCACATACACACTGACACACACACAATCACTCACATACGCACTGACACACACACACAATCACTCACATACACACTGACACACACACACACACAATCACTCAGATACACACTGACAGCCAGACATACACAATCACTCACATACACACTGACAGACACACACACTACCAGAGCTAAATGTGTCACACAAATATCCCCAATGTTTTGGCATCAAAAACATGCCTTTCTCAAGCGAAAGCATAACCACTCACCTTCCCATCTTATGATATAAACCAGTTCTACAGCTGATAGGCATCAGTACAATCTCACTCGAGACGCAACGTCATCACGTACATAATCGTGAGACCACCCAAACAAAGAAAAAAAGAAAAGCAAGGCAGACAATATCCACAAAATCTTCAGGATAAAACCAAACTGATATAATATTTATTCAAACAGTATGTAAGCTAAAAGAAAACCCAACAGACGTTGCAACTTGAACAAACAAACTTGTGGTTTATGAAGACACCGACAGCATTGCAACTCCTGGCACTCCTTCCTGTAACAATCACACAGCTTTAACTCAAGTGCATGTGCACTTTAAAAATTAATGTACGCTGATATTCAAATATATGGAGAGTGCCCACATATAATGTCATAACTAAGGCTCCCAACAGCACTACCAATTACAGCATCTATACAAGCTCCTAGCTATTAGCACTGTTCTAATGCACAAATCTAATATATATTTTAAACAGTAATATCGGGAAGTTAACACATGCTCATCCCCTGTAGAGCAAACTTATGCCAGGATATGCACTTAAAAGAGGAAATATTTACTCAATTATATTAGATTACAAGATTTGTGTTTGGATAAAATGCAATTCGGCCAAATTTTGACAATTGGTGTTTAGCGATTCGCCAAGGGGAACAGACTTCTGCAGTTCAAATATTTTTATTCCTTGATTTTTTTTGCCATTCCTGGAACAAGAAAAAAGGGGATGCAGAGGAGAATTAGCTTTTTTTTGGGGGTAGGGGGAATAAGCAGTTTAGTTTGCCATGATGGACAAGAAATCTGCCCAATTTAATGGGTAGATTTTCTTTTTAACCAAAAGATAGTAAATTAAAAATAATTAATAGTTACGAGACAGTTACTAAATGTTGATTTTATTCACAGAGTCAAGGGAAGAGCAGTAAACCACACAATCTATTCTTCCAAGCCAGACATTTTGACTTGAGCTACTGGTAGAGACAGACCAGCAGTGATGCAGGGTGTTTTAAAACCCTGGTGGTGTTTGTAAGGGAATGGTTTGGGTCATTGATTTTAGTGTGAGACTAGATGTATCTTTCTGCTGTAGAGATATTTAAAATTTAAAGTGTAAAGATAATTCAATAATGTACTGGACCTTCACTTTGATCAACTTTTAAATAATGTACTTCTATAATTTTATCTATACATTGTATTAGCCAACTTTTTTTTGCAAATGCATCAAATATCATACATATAGATATACACACTTAAATATGATTGTCCACAACATTAAAGGAACACTATAGTCACCTAAACAACTTTAGCTTAATGAAGCAGTTTTAGTGTATAGATCATGCCTCTCAGATTTTGCTGCTCAGTTCACTGCCATTTAGGAGTTAAATCACTTTGTTTCTATTTATAAAGCACTTGCCACACCTCCCCTGGCTATGATTGACACAGCCAGCATGAAAAACAATTGGTTTCATTTTCAGTCAGATGTAATTTACCTTAAACAATTGTATCTATTTCTCTGTAAATTTAACTTTAATCACATACAAGAGGCTCTTGCAGGGTCTAGCAAGCTATTAACATAGCAGGGGATACAATCTAAATTAAACAGAACTTGCAATAAAAGAAGGATAAACTTTAGATGACTCTTTAAAGGAAGTGTTTAGGAAGGTTGTGCAAGTCACTTGCAAGGAGGCGTGACTATGATTCATAAAGTGATTTAACTCCTAAAGACTGCAGAACCATGATCTATACACAAAAAATGGCTTCATTAAGCTAAAGTTGTTTTGGTGACTATAGTTTCCCTTTAAAACCACTGACATGTGAGGTGAATAACATTGGTTATATTGTTACAATGAAACCAGCCAAGATGTGGAATGTATAAGGAAGCAAATGAACATTTCTTTTATTTCATGTGTTGGAAGAGGGAAGAATGGGTGAGCGAAAAGATCAGAGTGACCTTGACAAGGGCAAAATAGTGATGGCTAGACAACTGGGATTAAAACATCTCCACCTATCAACTATGCTAAAGGAAAGGACAACCGATGAATGGTGTCAGGTCACGGGTATCCACACCCTATTGGTGCGTGTGGGAAGCGAAGGCTAGCCTGTCTGGTACAATCAAACAGAAGAGCTACTGCACCTCAACATCTTGAAAAACGTAATGCTGGTCATGATAAAAAGGTGTGAGAACACACAATGTATCACAGTTTGCTGCATAGCTGCAGACCGGTGAGTGTGCACATGATGACCGAAAGCTCCTTTAATAGGGAATTGAGCATCAGAACTGGACCATGGCACAATGAAAGAAGGTTGCCTGGTCTGATTAATCCCGTTTCGTTTTAGATCAGGTGGATGGCCAGGTGCGTGTGCATTGCTTACCTATGCAAAAGATGGCAGCAGAAGGCACTATGGGAAGAATACAGGCCAGATGAGGCAGTGTTATGCTCTGGGCAATATTGTTCTGGGAAACCTTAGGTGCTGACATTTATATGGACGTTACTTTGACACGTATCATCTACCTATATATTGTTTCTGACCATGTACACCCCTTCCTGGCAATGGCTCCCTGCCACACTGCAAACATTATTCAGGAATGTTTTCAGGAACATGAAAAACCGTGTGACGTGTTATCTTGGCCTCTAAATTTCCCAGATCTCAATCCAATTGATCAGTGGGATATGCTGGAACATATCGTGGAAACCCCACCTAGCAACTTGCAGAACTTGGATCTGCAGCTAATGGCTTGGTGCCATATACCATAGGACATATGCAGAGTCCTTGTGGAATCCATTCCATGACACATCAGAGCAATTTCACACACAATCGTCACATTCGACTCTCGTCTCTGCAGTTCTTCAAAGACCCTCAAAGAGCTTATAAGTTCCCCATTCCCCGTATAGATCCCCATCCCAGACAACCTTCCTCTGCTGTCTCACATCCAATATGCCGTCTTCTCCCATACACCCCTCAGTTTCGTTCAGGTATATCCCTCTGTATTGCGGTTCCTTATCCTTTTATAAGGTAAGCTTGTTTGGACTGGGCTCTTCACATACTGTTCCTGTATGCCAAATGTGTTTTCAGAAATGTTGGTCTTGTTTTACCTATTGTACAGTGCTATATAAATAATTGCAACTGCATATATTTCTCACACTTCCTGTAACGGTGTAATTTTAATGGAAACATCCTCTTTCCAGAAAAACAGGTTGATCTGTTTTGGCATTGAATTTTATAGCTCACGTGTTGAATCATATGTATGACATTTGTTATTATAAATTATTTGACAAGAGTTTGCATTTTCACATTGCACCACTTTTAGGTGAATGACAATAGCTGTGAGGACACTAAATATATTAACCATTAATAATCTCATTTGTCACACAAAGAATTTATCAATCTATACCTAGGACTGATTATTTAGACAATTTTTTCATAGTTATATCACACATATACACACCAACCTAGCAACTTTGACAATTTCACATTAAGCATTCGTAGCAATGTCGAATATCTTACTATAAACATATTTTAAAATAAAAAAAATGCCGTCAAAAGTAAAGGAAATCGAGAAGTTATTATCAGCACAGAGTTCTTAACCCTTTATAAAAAGTTTACAAAATATTAAATTTAATGTAATGAGATTTAGGTCATAAAAAAAGAATGATAATATTGTGACATTTTAAAGAATGTTAAGTATTCCTAATAGTCATAATTACTAAATGTGTAATGGAACTGGGTAGTCATGAAACTTTAATACAAAAAAAAGGATTAAGAAGCAGGTCACACACTAAAATACAGATTTAAATTTAACAAGGCTACTTAATAATATTAAACAAATATGGATATTCACAAATGAAATTAAAAGTGCATTGTGAATATCATGAATATAACTTTATTGTGATAAAAACAAAGCAGTGCCATACACACACACGTATAAGATATAAGATGTTTGGGGTAGAATACACAGAGTAATATATTCAGAGGACAAGAAGTTTTACTTTTCATAAATAATTTTTTCAGTGGTATTAGCAGCAGTACCATAGGGGATGTTATTGTATAGCAAGCATGTCAAACTCAAAGGCTAGCACAGGCCAAATAAACAAGGTGTAAGTGGCCCACAAAAAAACCCAAAAACTTCAGTTTTCATAGAAACATGGGTTTATTTTGAAAAGTTCAGTTTAAAAAAACAAAACAAAAAAAAAATCCCCCTCTATTAAATCCCAGTTCTCCCCCTATACTAAATTGGGGCTCCCTGTTACACTCCATCTACACGCGACTTACTGGGCCACATGCTTATTCTATAGAGACAGGTAATCTGATAATTTAATATTTTTTATTAGGACCTCCTCCTCCTAAACTCTATTGGTACACCTCAGTAGTAACAAATAATAACAACCAGAAAACACTATTTTACAGGGAGGAAAACATGTACTGCTGCTAATACTACAGAAAACATAATTTGAGGTAACAAAATTTCTTGTTTTCCAAACATATAGCGGCAGTATCGTAGGGATTTAACAAGACACGTGAGCTTTTGTTGCCATGACTCGAGTTGAATTAGCCTTGATTTTTATTGGAAGATCACAAGCTTAATATGTACACTCTATGGTTTCCTTAATCTAATATGCAATAGTAATTTTGGAAGCTGCTTTTACTCCTGACTGACGCCTGAAATTGATGAGAAGGTGTTCTGATCTGCGGAAGGAAGTTGACTTGTAAAGATAAGTTTGAACCAAACGTTTAAAATCCAATGAGTGAAGTCTGTATTGCTTGGAGGATTTTGACAAAACACACAATGTCCCCTTTCTTTAAAACTTTAGGACAAAAAGAAGGATTTCAATGCAGATAACTTTGTCTTGATGGAAAATTGAGTATTTTTTTGATGCTGATAGTGCCTGAATTGCAGTCACTCATTATGCCATAGTGATTGCAATTAGAAAAGTGGCCTTTGATGATAAAAACTTTAGTGGAACATCTTTAAGAGTTTTAAATGGACCTTCACATAAATAAGGGAGTACTAAAGATAGATCCCAGGAAGGAAAGATACACTTTGAGGAGAGAGCAACTGCCAGATGGCTTTAAAAAAATGTCATCTAAATGTTCACGGTAAAATCCTGTTTTAGAAAATGCTGAGAACTGTACCTTAAGGGTGGAAACGCTCAAACCTGGGACTGAAGAGTGTGGATTACCAGTTTAATTTTCATTGTAGCACTTCTCTTGAGTTTGCCTTTAGAAAGCAGTGATCCAGGTATGGGATTAAGAATACTACTAGTTGTTTTAGACAAGCGACTAAAAAAAGAATCTTCCTAAAACCCTCGGGGCTATTGACCGTCCAAATGAATTTGAATTCAAAATGCATTATCATGTGACCTGACATTACCGCTAATCTCAGAAAAAATTTGTGATGTTACATTCATTGGAACATGGAGATAGGCATCTTTTAGGTCCAGTGAAGATCTCCTTTCTGCAAAATATTGGTGATGGATGAATGTACAAAACCTCTGGTGTGTGATACTTTTTTAAAAACTTTTTAAGAAAACCCGTTTCTTTGTCTGAATCTTTACTCACTAAATCGAATGCATCTGAACTCTGTGAACACTCACCAGAGGATAAGAGAAGTAGATGGAGATCTACGTCTCTTTTTTCCCCGCTAACAGGACTACTGACCTCGCAGACGTTTTCTGTGATGCTACATCTTTAAACTAAGCAAATGTTTATTGTAAATAAACTAAATGTTTGGTTTTCTGAGTGGCCTATTTTGGAGAAGGTGGAGCTTTTTTCTCATTTAACTGGTAAAACAGGACTAGACATCGAAGAAAATAAATGGAGTGCAAAAAGGAGAATTAGCTAGTTAACTCATTCTGACTACATCATTTTTGAAGTAAAAGAGACTTGCCTCCTACCTTAAAAACCCTCTGACCATGTGGGGAGACTGTTGGACATAATATTCCTGATCTGACATACATCCTGTAGTCAGTCAGATCTATCTACCTTTAAATAGCTAGACTAATTTCAAATGTGGTACAAAACTGTATGACTTTTGCATATGCATAGTAGCACAACAGAAACACAATGAAATGCATGGCAACCTGAGCCTGCATTCCAACGTACTGCTCCTGCATGCAAAAAAAAAGCAGTTACAAGTACTGCCCACAGGCCGAGCTTAATAATTCCAAGCATCTCCAGCATCTTATCTTGTGCGTCCTTCATCTCACTGCCAGGGAGCTGACACTATCACTCAGATAGCTCAGCTCCAAATGCCTCCCTATTCAGCTACTTGTCCTGTTATGCCAACCTACTGCCTGTCAAACTGCCTTTCTGTCCGACTTGAAGGACAAGTAAGAATGGAGCAGTGCTGATTCTACAAGGTATTTAAGGGTTTAGGAAATAAATAAAAAATATATTAAAAAAAAAGCATTGGATTGGCTAAAATCGGCACGGGGCGGGGCCAAATGCTGGTTTGGCCAATCAGGACCTCCTCATAGAGATGCATTGAATCAATGCATCTCTATGAGGAAAGTTCAGCATCTCCATGCAGAGCATGGGGACGCTGAACGGCAGGGCTGCTTACTGTGCAGCCCTGAGCCAGGAAGCCCCTCCAGTGGTCATCTAAGGAGGTGCCATTGGAGGTGTCCCTAAGGGCAATGTAAACACTGCCTTTTCTCTGAAAAGGCAGTGTTTACATGAAAATGTCTGAAGGGAGCTATTGTACTCACCAGCACAACTACATTAAGCTGTAGTTGTTCTGGTGACTATAGTGTCCCTTTAACTAACTTTGATTAGTTATACTAGACAATAAATACGAAAGCTTGCACTATGATTAGTTCCTAGTCAGGTCTCAAAAGGTTTTAGCTCACTTGTACCGTTAAAACTAGAAATATATTTTGATATTTATTTTGTTGCTCTCTTTATCTATTTGTGGACATCTTAATCATTAGGCCTACTGTGATCATCCATTACATGGACTGGGAAAGGCAAAAATGACTGTCTGAAGTCCAGTACTGTACCTCTTGTGCAGAGGAAACATGTCCAGCATTTCAGTTTTAGAATGTCCTTGTTGGTGGGTGGAAACAGCTTTATATGCAAACGAAGAGTGTATCAAGACTTGTTTGAGAGGGAATAAACAACAAGGCAAACAATTAAGCGTTTGTCGGTCCATAGAAGTTTTCTTTCTTTTTTATTTTCTCTGTTTAGGCATATTTGAAAACTAGAACACATCTTACACATGCACGGATGAACTTCAAATGTGATTAAAATATTTAAAAACAATAAAAACCTCAGCACAAAAAAAATACACAGATGTGTAAAAATATACCTCTTTTATAGCTCAAAGATTTTCAGAGTTTACAAAGCGGTGTGCTTTTCTAAAAACATATGGTCCACAGATGAGTCATACAAAAAGAAAGGTGTTCATGGTATGCAATCCGCAGTTGGGTTCTTATATTCCTTATAACAACAATTCTTGTAGGTGAGGCTCCACTTTGAGTGCATATATATACAAATCTAACTCAATTCAAATGTAGTACACCACAAAAATTATGTAATTTTTGTTCTCTGCTAGTGATCATCTAATATAATTCACCGTGGAACAGAGCAGAAAAACAAGATGAAAATATGAATTGCGCGTTTGTTGGGGGTGTACATGGGTATTCTTTAGCATTTAGGCAAGCCTCTGATAGCCCAATGTTTGCTTCTGTCTGTCAAGCAGTACTTTGTTATTCCTTCTTTGCAAAATGTATCTAAGGGTGTGGAATTTGGTATATACTGTACATGTTACAATGCACACACACATTTACAAAACATACATCCACACATTTATATAACAGAGTTAAAACATTGTTTGGGGTTCAAGCTCACATTGGAACGGTAGAATAAGGTCCTCCAGTGGACATATTAAAATGTGTGATTCAAGACCCATCTCCTTGTTCAAACCTTTGCTTAACACGCTACAATTAACTTTTTTTTTACCATGATCATGAACATTTAATATGACTTAAATGGGCGCAGTAGGCATACTGCATTTCCCTGGTGAGATTAATATGCAAGAGGTCTCAGGGTTAAAGGGACACTATAGTCACCAGAACAACTACAGTTAATTATATTTGTTCTGGTGAGTATATTCATTCCCTTAAAGGACCACTCTAGGCACCCAGACCACTTCAGCTTAATGAAGTGGTCTGGGTGCCAGGTCCAGCTAGGATTAACCCATTCTTTTATAAACATAGCAGTTTCAGAGAAACTGCTATGTTTATGAATGGGTTAAGCCTTCCCCCAAAACCTCTAGCGGCTGTCTCATTGACAGCCGCTAGAGGCGCTTGCGTGCTTCTCACTGTGATTTTCACAGTGAGAGCACGCAAGCGTCCATAGGAAAGCATTGTGAATGCTTTCCTATGCGACCGGCTGAATGCGCGCACAGCTCTTGCCACGCGTGCGCATTCAGCCGCATGGGAGAAGAAGAGGAGGATCGGAGGAGGAGAGCTCCCCGCCCAGCGCTGGAAAAAGGTAAGTTTTTAACCCTTTCCCCCTTCCAGAGCTGGGCGGGAGGGGGTCCCTGAGGGTGAGGGCACCCTCAGGGCACTATAGTGCCAGGAAAACGAGTATGTTTTCCTGGCACTATAGTGGTCCTTTAAGGCTTTTTGAAGTACACACTGTGTTTTCAGAGAAAATGCAATGTTTACATTACAGCCTAGGTATACCTCCACTGGCAATTCCTCCTATGGCTACTAGAGGCGATTCCTGGGGCTGTGCTGCACATTGTGCAGCAGTGAAATTCAGTGTCTCCACCCTCTGTATGGAGACACTAAACTTTCCTCATAGAGATGGATTGATTCAATGCATCTCTATGAGGAGATGCTGATTTCCAAGGGCTGTATTTGGCTTGTGCTGGCTCTGCATCCTTGGCAATCTTAGCCAATCCAATGTTTTCCTGTGGTAAAGCAAAAGGCTTTGATCAACACTTCTGATGATGCCAGTACCAGCAGACTGGAATAAAATTAACATTTTACTAGATTTTACTTAAAACACACCTACTCAGGAAAGCTTATGGCCTCCCAGAGTCACCTCTACCTCACATACCTGTACCTTGCTCTCTCCTAAAGGCAGCACTCTACTCTTTCCTCCAGCTTTGCCTCACTCCCACCTTGTTTGATTGCCATCTCCTGTCCTATTGTGTTTTATACCCCACCTCCTCTAGATTATAAGCTCCTTTGAGCAGGGTCCTCATCATCCTGTCAGTTTTTGTAATTGTTTCATTTATTGTTAAATCTCCCCCTCCTATAATATTGTAAAGCACTATGGAATTTGTTGGCGCGATATAAATGCCAATAATAATAATAACAACAACAATTAAAAAAAATTTGTATATATAGTTTTTGCAAATGGTATGCCTTCATGGGGGTAATTCTCATTCCTGGGCTACCATACAGTCTCAAATGCAACATTACCAAACTGGCAAATTTTAATGTGAAAAAAATGAAATGCAAGCCTTATATTTGACTCTCTAACTTTCCAAAACACCATACAACCTGTGTCAGGGGGGGAACTGTAATACTTGGGAGACTTCACTGAACACAAACATAAGTCAAAACAGTAAAACATATTACAACAATAATATCGTCAGTAAAAGCGCAGTTTGTGTGTGAAAAATGCATAAAACTTCACTTTTTACTGAAAATAACATTGTTGTAATACAATTTATCATTCTGAATTACTAATATTTGTGTTCAGCAAAGTCTCCCGAGTAAAACAGTACCCCTCATGTACAGGTTTTATGGTGTCTTGGAAAGTTACAGGGTTAAATAGAGGTCTTGCGAATAGGTACAAGTAGAATATTGCGGTTTCAAAACATAAATTTTTTAAATTTATCAATAGTGACATTGTAACACTATTATCTGTCATAAATCTCTGAATAACACCCCACATGTACATATTTTTTTTAAAGTAGACAACCCAGGGTATTCAATATGGGGTATGTCCAGTCTTTTTTAGTAGCCACTTAGTCGAAAACACTGGCCAAAGTAAGCATTCATATTTGTTTGTGTGTGAAAAAAGTAAAAAAACTAAATTGAACGCTAATTTTGGCCAGTGTTTGTGACCAAGTGGTTACTAAAAAAGACTGGACATACCCCATTTGCAATACCTTGGGTTGTCTTCTTTTGCAAATGGTATGCCATCATGGGGGTAATTCTCATTCCTGGGCTACCAAAACTGGAAATTCCCGGCACTTTCTGCCTGGGTTGTCAGGCAAGTCAATCAAATTTTAATTAATTAAAAGAGAGAGAGAATGTCATTCTAAGTGTATTTTGTTAAAAAATATATATTATATATATATATATATATTTATAATATAAATAACAAAATACAGTTAGAATGAAATTACGTATGTATATATAATTTATTAAATTTTTTAAAATATTTCATTTATTATTGTAATTATACTTATATATAAAAATATATATTATATCTATGCAACTTCATTCTAAGTGTATTTTAATACTAATATATGTAATTATATTAGCATTAAAATACATTACTTATGACGATAGAGATATATATATATATATATATATATATATATATATATATATATATACACACACACACACACATATATATACACACTTATTTTATTTTAACCCCTTAAGGACTGGACTGTTTTTGCGATGTTGTACATTTGCGACCAGGCATATTTTTACACTTTTGTGGTGTTTGTGTTTGGCTGGAATTTTCCGCTCTCTCGTTTACTGTTCCCATACAAATTATATATTGTTTTTTTCAGGACAAAAGGGGCTTTCTTTACATACCATTATTTATATAATCTCATGTATTTTAATTTAAAAAAAATAAAAAAATATGAAGAAAAATTGAAAAAAAATACATGTTTTTTGACTTTTACTTGAAAAATCTTTTACTCATCTACAAAAGCGAATTAAAAAAACTGCTAAATAGATTCAAAATTTTGTCCTGAGTTTAAAAATACCCCGTGTTTACATGCTTTTTTGCTTTTTTTTGCATGTTATAGGGCTATAGGTACAAGTAGAATATTGCAGTTTCAAAACATAAATTTTTTAAATTTATCAATAGTGACATTGTAACACTATTATCTGTCATAAATCTCTGAATAACACCCCACATGTACATATTTTTTTTAAAGTAGACAACCTAGGGTATTCAATATGGGGTATGTCCAGTCTTTTTTAGTAGCCACTTAGTCGAAAACACTGGCCAAAGTAAGCATTCATATTTGTTTGTGTGTGAAAAAAGTAAAAAAACTAAATTGAACGCTAATTTTGGCCAGTGTTTGTGACCAAGTGGTTACTAAAAAGACTGGACATACCCCATTTGCAATACCTTGGGTTGTCTTCTTTTGCAAATGGTATGCCATCATGGGGTAATTCTCATTCCTGGGCTACCATACGCTCTCAAAGGCAACGTAACCAACCTGGCCATTTTCAATGTAAAAATATTTGACCCATATATTTGACCTTGCAACTTTCAAAAATACTATAAAACCTGTACATGGGGGGTACTGTTTTACTCAGGAGACTTTGCTGAACACAAATATTAGTGTTTAAAAACTGGAAAACGTATCACAACAATTATATCATCAGTAAAAGTGCTGTTTGTGTGTGAAAAATGCAAAAAAAGTAACTTTCACCGACAATATCATCGCTGTGATATGTTTTACTGTTTTGAATCACTAATATTTGTGTTCAGCGAAGTCTCCCGAGTAAAACAGTACCCCCCATGTACAGGTTTTAGGGTGTCGTAGAACGTTACAGGGTAAAATACAGTGCTAGCAAATTAAATTCTCTGGAATTTCGGCCTGGATTGGCAGGCAGGTCCCTCAAATTGCAATCAATAAAATTACTGAATTATGTAAAAATATTACATAAATATGCACTTAGAATTTAAATATATATGCATATTTATATATTTGAAGTCTACGTGTATATTTATATAATTATTTATGTAATTTTGTATATGGACATATGTATATTTCTTATTATTTTTATTTACTTTTATATACATAGATATATATACAAATTCATTCTAAGTGTATTTTGATATAAATATATATATATTAATTTTAAAATACAGTTAGAATAAAATTTCATATAGATATAATTTTTTTTAATTTTTTTATTATTTTAAAAATTTTTTATTTAATTTAAATTACTATTATTTATATTTTATAATAATATATATATACAATATATATAGTTATTATATATATTATATATATACGTGTGTAATTTAATTATAAGTGTATTTTTATATTAATATAAGTACATATTAATATAAAAATACACTTAGTATGACATTATATATATATGATATATAGACATATATTATATAGATATAATATATGTCTATATATCATATATACACATATATAATTATTTATTTTTTTTTATTAACACTAACTTTATTTTTTTTTCTGATTTTACACTAGCAGGGAGACTGCCTGTCAGCACAGGCAGTCCCCCTGCAGGCAGACACATGGACACCTATTGTGACCATGTGATCGCTGTGTTGAGCGATCACATGGCCACAGGGGTCCTAATTCAGTGTGGGGAGACTGTCTGGGCTGCAGGCAGTCTCCCCACAACCGGAGCCACGCTGATCGCCGCCGGGGGAACGACGGCGATCAGGTAAGTAACGGAAACCGTTAGGACGGTTCAGGACCGTCATCGGTCCTCAAGGCAAAAATGCAGATGACGGTCCTGAACCGTCCTGGGTCGCTAAGGGGTTAAACATGTTTTATTATTATTACACTACCCACCAGCAGGGGGACTGTCTGACAGCCCAGACAGTCTCCCTGCTGGCAGATCCACAGCCAGCTATGGGGGCTCTCGGTCTGCTCTAAGCCTGATCTCTGCCTATGCACTAAAAGGCATCTGCTGGTCACCACCTCTAACACATCACAGATGCATACTATTGTCAGGACTGAATCACAAAAATACTGCGCGCAACCATTTGACACATGTATAGGATAAATAAGTAACACATTGGTCGGGAATCAGTATAGTTTCTTATGCCCGAGTTGGGGGTCACATTTTAAACACCCTTCATCCAAAAACTCCTGACCACGACTGAATGCTTTTTTTGTCTGGACCAGTGATGGTGAACCTATGGCACGTGGCATGCCAAGCCAGCTCTGTGGGCACGCAGCCATAGGTCGCCGGGGAGAGAGGGCTGCTGTCGCCGGTCGACAGCAATGCAGAGTAGGCATCTCCATGCCCAAAATGGCAAGCGCCTACTCTGCTTTCGTATTGGGACGACCCGGAGGCAGTGGGACGGATCTGGGAAGCGAATCACTTCACCAGCGAGCAGGCTGTGTGGGGCGTTGCACCACGTTACCATGGAAATGCTCCACACAGCATTCTGCGCATGAGAGGACAGGAGAGCTGAAGCCAGAACCTACAGAGAACTTACCACCACTGGACCACCAGGGCTGGCTGTGTCCCCTCCTCCTTCATTAAAAGGTAAGAAGAAGGAAGGGAGGGGATAAAGATTTTAATAATGTATAGGATTAAAAAAAAATCTCTTTTTTTAATTGCTACCTGCAGCCCCCCCAGGCCCTTCTTACACACAGCACCCCTCATACACACACACACACACCGCACCCCTCAACACAGTATGTGTTCAGCAGTCTGTATGTATTCAGCAGACTGTGTGTGTGTGCATTCAGCAGATTGTGTGTATGTATTCAGCAGTCTGTCTGTATGTATGTGTATTCAAAGTGTGTGTATTCAGCAGTCTTCAGCAGTTTATGTGTGTATTCAGCGAACTGTGTGCACGTATTCAGCAGTCTGTTTGTGTGTATGCAGCGGACTGTGTGTACTCAGTGTCATGTTTTGCGGTTTGAGCACTCTGGCTCAAAAAGGTTCGCCATCACTGGTCTAGACTGTAAGCTCGTCTGAGCAGGGTCGTCATCTACCTATTATTCCTGTAACATTATGTAATTGACTCATTTATTGTTAAATTTACCCCTTTATAATATTGTAACATGTTGCGGAATATGTGGGCGCTATATAAACGCCAATAATAATAATAATAATAATAATAATGGTCAAGACAGCAATCAAGATAATTTACATCTCTTACAGAAAACTAGATGACAACAGTAGCACATATAAGGTTGAACCAGTTTAAGAAGACAAAAAAAGAAGGTCAACTCTCATTGCTTCAGGATGCATAGCTCTGGAACTGCTGCTGTTTGCAGTAGCACGGATTTTTCCAGATTTAGTCTGTTTAACAAAGATATATTAGACAGCATGATGCAGTGATGAAAGAATAAACAGAGTGTGATGTAGTGATTATATCTCAGATTGAAGTATGATGTAAATTAAAAACAACTGTTGGTAATGCTTATCCAAAATCCCACCCAATGCTCAAACTGTGATACCTACTCTCTAAAAGAGGAAGTGTATTATGTTAAAAACGGACTTGTAAAATACCGGCCGAAATAGAGTTCTATAAAAGTCCCAATCTCGGCTGAATAACAAGGACATCAAGGGTGAGTCTGCGTCTGTTCAAGACAGAAATGTGCTTAATCGCTGACAGCTTTGTTCAGTTGTGGCCAGGCTGTTATTCTAGGCATTTATTGCGTGGCCTTCACACAGCAGAACCAGCTATTCCACAGGCCACCTACAACTGCTCCAGCCCTGTACACACTCACCGTCACCATGAGTGATTGTAAAAGCATCCTCACCACAAAAGAGATTGAGTCCATTATAAATACAATTATAATTCATGTAACACTAGAGGACATTATCAATTTCAGTTGTCATCAACCTAGATGTAGAAGATTGCCTGAGAGTGGAACAAGATTGCCATTGATAATGAAAAAGTGTAAATCTGTGGCTAAAATGTGGCTGAGGAGCAGAGAGTCTCTGGTTGCAATAAAGAGTACTTTTTTGTCAAACCATTCACGCTTCCTAATAGTCTGACATAAAATCAGGAGTTGGGTGCCTACTATTAAAGCCCTGAAGTGTTTGCAGCATTCACTGTTGTGGGCTAAAACACACTGGTTTTAAACTGGTTAGAGAGCATACTTGAAATATAAGAAAGGAATGTGTTTGAACTTGTGGATTTTAAAAACTAAAATATTTTTTGTTTTTAGGAAGAAACATGGTATAAGCAAAGAAGAGCAGCTTCATGGCTTAAATACACTCTAGAAAGAACAGTATGTAGTAATTACTGTCTCATGGTCTTCTCGAAATGATGAGAAGTCTGATGTTTAACCCCTTAAGGACCAAACTTCTGGAATAAAAGGGGATCATGACATGTCACACATGTCGTGTCTTTAAGGGGTTAAAGAGTGGCCATTTCCATTACCTGTTCATGAACAGTCCGCATACGTGGTAAATGAAATATTAAAAAGTATTTTTACAGGACATACCAATAAAGTCGTCCAAAGTAAAGTAAACAGTTGTTACAGAGCTTGTAGTTTACACATGGCATTAACACGTATATCTGCAACATGTACCATAATTCTTATTCAAGTAAGAAATCCGCTTTAGAAACTGGTTATGTCCACTAGTGTCCAACAGGTGTAATTTGCTACAAGAGTGAGTGTTCTTAGTTGAACAAATCCAGGACTATAGCACAAAGCGTATCCCTAACACGGCAAACTTTTAGTACACTCCACCAAAGCTAGGCTTGAAACTCTGATCCATAATCAGCATATTTTCTTTTTTTCTTTTTTTTAAGACAAAGGAAAATAATCATATCTGAAATTTTTATTTTTTTTAAGAACACTTTTTTGAACAGAAGAGATGATAAATGTATCTACAGTTCAAAAAACAAAACAAAAAATACAGTATGGTATGTGAACCATGGCCATGCAGTTATCTTTTTTTTTTTGTCAGTAAGAAAAGTATAAAAGTATTTTAAAGTATATTTGTGATCTGCTCCAGCCCATGGTAAGCAGAGTGTTTAATTTATTACTTCTGAGTAGCATGGACACCACAAATATTTTATTACTCAAACACCAGAGATGAAGAGGAGAAAAAAAAAACCTCAATACTTAAAGAATTACTACAGTGTCAGGAAAACAAGCTTGTTTTCCTGACACTATATAATCCTTAGGGTCCCCCCACCCTCAGGGCCCCCTCCCTCGGCACTGTCCTCCCCCTCCGACGTCAGCTCCCGAGTTGAGCCGAATGCAAACGCATTAAAAACGCCCATAGGAAAGCATTGAGAAGTTCTGTGTGCGCAATGCAAATTTTGCATGGAGTGTCACAGAAGCGCCTCTAGCGGCTGTCAGGAAGACAGCCACAAGAGGCTGGATTAACCCCGGAATGTAAACATAGCAATTTTTCTGAAACTGCTATGTTTACAGCTGCAGGGTTAAAACCTGGGGGACCTGGCACCCAGACTAGGGATCGACCGATTATCGGTCTGGCCGATATTATCGGCCGATATTTGGTATTTTCGGCAATATCGGTATCGGCCAATTCAGATACCGATATTGCCGATAATATATTACAGGACCGCCGTGCCCATTACAAGCCCGGCGGTCCTGTGGGGGCCAGCAGCAAGCGCTGACTTACCTTGCATGCAGCTCCTACAGCGCTCTGTGTAAATCTCGCGAGACCCGCGGCCGCAGAGCGTTGCCACGGGTTACCATGGCAACGCTCCGCTCGGCACTAAGAGCCGCGAGATTTACACAGAGCGCTGTAGGAGCTGCTTGCAAGGTAGGTCAGCGCTTGCTGCTGCTGAGCCACCACTGTACTTAACAAGCCACTGGACCACCAGGGAATACTATATCCCCCTCCCTGGTAAGAAGCAGGGAGGGGGGACTAAACAAAAAATAAAAACATTTTTAAATATTAAAAAAAATATTAAAATAAAAAATTACACAAATTACATCACTACACACACACCCAAACACACACTACACAAACACACTCCACACAAACACACTCCACACAAACACACTCTACACAAACACACTCTACACAAACACACTCTGGGGGGGGGACTAAACAAAAAAAACATTTAAATATTAAAATAAAAAATTACACAAATTACATCACTACACACACACAAACACACTGCACACATACTGCATTACATACACACTACACAGACACACACACACTGCATTACATACACACACTACACAGACACACACACACACTGCATTACATACACACACTACACAGACACACACACACTGCATTACATACACACACTGCATTACATACACAAACTACACAGACACACACACACTGCATTACATACACACACTACACAGACACACACACACTGCATTACATACACACACACCACAAACACACACTGCACACATACTGCATTACAGACACACACACTGCACACACTACACTGCACACACACTGCATTACATACACACACACACTGCATTACATACACACTACACAAACACACACTGCATTACATACATACACATACACACTACAAACACACACACTGCATTACATACACACACAAAAACACACTGCATTATACACACACAATACATAAACACACTCCATTATATACACACTACATTCATTATACACACACACTCTGCATCCACTACACACACAGTTCCCCTGTCTAAAAACACTTCATCCACTACATGTGGCATGTATATTTTGTGCATTTACCTTTCGAATTAGTTTATTTATTCAAAATATTAAATGTACAGAATATCGGCAAGATATCGGCTATCGGCCTGAAAGTTCGCAGATTATCGGTATCGGCTCTAAAAAAATCAATATCGGTCGATCCCTAACCCAGACCACTTCATTGAGCTGAAGTGGTCTGAGTGAATATAGTGGTTAAGACAATATGTAGAATACTGGCAGAAATGCAGACTATAACATTAAGGTTATGTACTCTGTCTTCAAAAGTGAAATGTTTATTTGTCCTAAAGTCAAACACAGAATAATGTGTGCATGTATTTATTATATATTATTTTAATAAATATGTGCACACTTTTTTTTTTCTCCTCTTCATCTCTGGTGTTTGAGTAATAAAGTGTGTGTGTCTGTCTGTGTATAATATATATATATATATATATATATATATATATATATATATATATATATATATATATATGTATTTAAAAATAAAAAATTCAGCTACTCCTAAAACCAAATTAATAGATACTGGCCAAACTTCCTGAAATGGGTAAAATAGCAAGAATTGTGAATGCCACTAAAGTTACCACATTAAAGGGACAATATAATCCAATAACGGGGGGTGCAGTGTACCTGTCTTTTTAATCCTACAATGTAAGACAGTACAGTCATTTATTGAAACTGCAAGGCTTACATTGCAGAGTTAAGTCAACCTCTAGTGGCTGTCATACTGACAGCCATTAGAGGCATTTCCGCAGTACAGACAAAGTAAAACTCTGTCACGTGATGTAGAAGCCCATAGGGACACATTGAACTAACATGGCGCTTGCATGTACATTAGGTTCCCAGTGCTCCTCTATGAGATTTGACCACGCCAGGAGGCCATAACTCCTCCTTGATGTTGCAGGAGGCCAAAGGAGCATCAGGGCTAGAAAATGTAAAAACTTAGATTTTCTTATTTTTTATGGCAAATGGGGGAGGGTAGGAATAAAGGTTAGCATTCTTAACCCCTTAAGGACGGAGCCAAATGTACACGTTGTGAATGAAACAAAATGTAAACAAAACCTGGTATTTGCGCTACATGTCTGTCCAACCGTAATTCACCTTTTTCATAGTAAATGCACCCACCCTTATTATATATCATTTTATTCAGGGGAAACAGGGCTTTCATTTAATATCAAATATTTAGCTATGAAACATAATTTAATCTGAAAAAAATGGGAGAAAATAAGATTTCTTTTGATTTTTTTAGTTCTACATGACATTTTAACTGTCAATGTTATAATACTGTTTGCTTTTACTGTACATATATTTCTACATATACACATATTTGTATTCAGCAAAGTCTCACATGTAAAACAATACCCCCTATGTACAGATTTTATGGCGTTTTGGGAAATTACAGGGTCAAATATAGCACGTTACATTTGAAATTGAAATTCGCCAGATTGGTTACGTTGCCTTTGGGACTTTATAGTAGCCCAGGAATGAAATTCCTTACTGTAACATTCGCCATATATTTAATCAGTATCCAGTCACGTGTATTTGGTATTAATATATATATATATATATATATATATATATATATATTAAAAATATAACATATATATATATATATATATATATATATATATATATATATATATATATATATATATATATATATATATATATATATATATATATTACAATTATATATATATATATTAATAGTAAAATACACCTAGACAGTGTATGTGTGTGTATGTATATGTGTATGTATATATACTTAGATCATATATATATATATGATCTAAGTATATATATATTTTTTTTACACTTAATTATTTTATTTTATTTTTATTTTCAGCCAGCAGCGGGACCACCTGTCATTACAGGCAGCCCACCTGGCCATGTGATTGTGAGGTCCTCGCAAGGACCTCACTCTCACATGGCCGGGGGGCACCGGAGGAGGAGGATCTGCTGCGGGGGGGCTCCCTGGGAGTCCCCCCCACCGCGAGCGCCGGCGTGGGACCGCCGGCGACCGGGTATGTAAAGAAAGACCGGAGGGCGTACAATTACGCCCGGCGGCGTTTAGAGCCGCCTAAAATAGGGCGTAATTGTACGCCCTCCGGTCTTAAGGGGTTAACCCCTTAAGGACTGAGCCAAATGTACACGTTGTGAACAAAACAAAACGTAAACAAAACCTGGCATTTGCGCTACATGTCTGTCCAACCGTAATTCACCTCTTTCATATTAAATGCACCCACCCTTATTATATGTCATTTTATTCAGGGGAAACAAGGCTTTCATTTAATATCAAATATTTAGCTATGAAACATAATTTAATATGAATAAAATGGGAGAAAATAAGAAATGTTATTTTTTTAGTTCTACATGACATTTTAACTGTAAATGTCATAATACTATTTGAATTTACTGCAATAAAATACACATATTTGTATTCAGCAAATTCTCACGTGTAAAACAGTGCCCCTCATGTACATGAAAATTACCCCTATGATGGCATACCATTTGCAATAGTAGACAACCCAAGGTATTGCAAATGGGGTATGTCCAGTCTTTTTTCGTAGCCACTTGAGTCACAAACACTGGCCAAAGTTAGCGTTAGTATTTGTTTGTGTGAAAAATACAAAAAAGCGTAATTTTGGCCAGTGTTTTGTGACTAAGTGGCTTCTGAAAAAGACTCAGACATACATTGCAATACAGGTTATCTAATACAAATATTCTTCTACATCACTTCAAAGGCTAACCATTCTTGGGCTACCATAGGGTCTCAAAGGCAACGCAACCAATCTGGCGAATTTTAATGTGAAAAAAATGAAACACAAGCCTTATATTTGACGCTGTAACTTTTGAAAACACCATAAAACCTGTACATGAGGGGTACTGTTGTACTCGGGAGACTTTTCTGAACACAAATATTTGTGTTTCAAAACAGTAAATGTACAGGTTTTATGGGGTCTTGGAAAGTTATAGGGTTAAATATCGTGCTAGCAAATTAAATTCCCTTTACTTTTGGCATGGGTTGTCAGACAGGTCCCGCTAATTGTAATTAATTAAAATACCTAATTATGTAAAAATATTACATAAATATATATGTAGAATTAATATATGTATATTTATACACGTATGTGTACATATATAATGTTTAAAAAATATTTTTATATAGGTATATATAGTGATATATACGTATATATTTATGTATATAGATATATATATTATTTTGTTCTACGTGTATTTTGATAGAAATATATATATTAATATCACAATACAGTTAGAAACACATCTATATATTTTTTAATTATTTTTAATTTTATTTAACGTATTTACTTTTTTATATTATATATATATATATATATATATATATATAACAATTATATATATATTTAATCAGTATCAGTCTATGTGTAATTTGATTATATATAATTATATATTAATAGTAAAATACACCTAGACAGTGTATGAGTGTGTATATATATATATATATATTCTAAGTATATATTTTTTAAATTTTTTTACACGGATTTTAACATTATTTGATTTGATTTCCAGCCAGCAGGGGGACTAACTGTCATTACAGCAGCCAGCTAACTCGGCCATGTGATTTACTTGGTGGAATTTAGAGGCAGGTTCATGTGAGGGGACTCCTATGGGATCCCAAGGTGAGTCTCTAACTTGCTTGATCGCCGGTGACCGGGTAAGTAAGAAAAACCGGAGGGAGTACTATTACGCCCTGCGGCGTTTAGAGCCACTTAGATTAAGGCGTAATGGTACACCCTCCGGTTTTAAGGGGTTAAGACCACCACTAGCAGTTGTCACTCCAACAGCCACTAGAGGGACTTACTAGGCTCAGCATGAAAGTGCCGAATGTGTGTTTCATTAACCCCTTAGTGACCAGGCTGCTTTTCAATTTTCTTACAGTTTGCAACCAGGGCTGTTTTTACATTTCTGCAGAGTTTGTGTTTAGCTGTAATTTTCCTCTTACTCATTTACTGTACCCACACATATGAAATACCATTTTTATCGCCATTAAATGGTCTTTCTAAAGATATCATTATTTTCATCATATCATATAATTCACTATAAAAAAATCAAATATGATGACAATTGTTTAAAAAAAACAAAAAAAACCTTTTTCTAACTTTGACCCTCAAAATCTGTTACGCATCTACAACCGCCAAAAAACACCCATGCTAAATAGTTTCTAAATTTTGTCCTGAGTTTAGAAATACCCAATGTTAACATGTTCTTAGCTTTTTTGCAAGTTATGGGACAATAAGTACGAGTAGCACTATTTTCAAAAAAAAATTTTTTTTCAAGTTACATTGAAACTTGCGAGGACCTCACAATCACATGGCCAGGATAGCTGGCTGCAGCATTGCCAGCAAGGGGGCTGCCTGTAATGACAGGTGGTCCCCTCGCTGGCTAGAAATAAAATTAAAATAAATTAAATAGTGTAAAAAAAATAATATATACTTAGATCATATATATATATATGATCTAAGTATATATATATATATATACACACATATACATACACACACATACAATGTCTAGGTGTATTTTACTATTAATATATATATTAATATCAAATTACACGTAGACTGATACTGATTAAATATATATATATATAATTATTGTTATATATATTTATATATAATATAAAAAAATTCAATATGTAAATACGTTAAAAAATAAAATAAAAAAATAATAAAAAAATATATAGATGTGTGTTATTTCGTTCTAAGTGTATTGTGATAATATATATATATTTATATCAAAATACACGTAGAACAAAATACATATATATATATCTATATACATAAATATATACGTATATATCACTATATATATACCTATATATAAATAAAAATATTTTTAAAAAAATTTATATATACACACACACACACACACACACACACACATATATATAAATACATATATATTCACATACATATATACGTATATATATATATATATATATATATATATACACATACACACACATATACATACACACACACACACACATATATTAATTCTACATATATATTTATGTAATATTTTTACATAATTGGGTATCTTAATTACAATTAGCGGGACCTGCCTGACAACCCATGCCGAAAGTAAAGGGAATTTAATTTGCTAGCACTGTATTTAACCCTATAACTTTCCAAGATACCATAAAACCTGTACATGGGGGGTACTGTTCTACTCGGGGACTTCACTGAACACAAATATTAGTGTTTCAAAAACAGTAAAATGTATTACAAATCTATCGGCCAGTAAAGTGAAGTTTTTTTTGCATTTTCACACACAAACAGCACTTACACGGATTCTATATTATTGTTGTGATACTTTTACTGTTTTGAAACACAAATATTTGTGTTCAGCGAAGTCTCCCGAGTACAACAGTACCCCTCATGTACAGGTTTTATGGTGTTTTAAAAAGTTACAGCATCAAATATAAGGCTTGTGTTTCATTTTTTTCACATTAAAATTTGCCAGATTGGGTACGTTGCCTTTGAGACCCTATGGTATCCCAAGAATGAAAATTACCCCTATGATGGCATACCATTTGCAATAGTAGACAACCCAAGATATTGCAAACGGGGTATGTCCAGTCTTTTTTAGTAGCCACTTAGTCACAAACACTGGCCAAAATTGGCGTTTTTTGCATTTTTCACACAAACAAATACTAACGCTAGCTTTGGCCAGTGTTTGTGACCAAATGGCTACTAAAAAAGACTGGATATACCCCATTTGCAATACCTTGGGTTGTCTACTATTGCAAATGGTATGCCATTATGGGTGTAAATTTCATTCCTGGACTACTATAAAGTCCCAAAGGCAACGTAACCAATCTGGCGAATTTCAATTTCAAATGTAACATGCTATATTTGACCCTGTAACTTCCCAAAACGCCATAAAACCTGTACATAGGGGGTACTGTTTTACACGTGAGACTTTGCTGAATACAAATATGAGTATTTTATTGCAGTAAAAGCAAACAGTATTATGACATTGACCGTTAAAATGTCATGTAGAACTCAAAAAAATTTTAAAAACAAAATTCTTATTTTCTCCCATTTTTTTCAGATTAAATTATGTTTCATAGCTAAATATTTGATATTAAATGAAAGCCCTGTTTCCCCTGAATAAAATGATATATAATAAGGGTGGGTGCATTTACTATGAAAGAGGTGTATTACGGTTGGACAGACATGTAGCGCAAATGCCAGGTTTTGTTTACATTTTGTTTCGTTCACAACGTGTACATTTGGCTCTGTCCTTAAGGGGTTAAACTAATAACACACAAAGAGTGAAATGTTTACATGGTGTGTTCAATAAAAACATGGCAACATTCACAGTGCCGGTGGAAAAAGTATGTGAACCCTTGGACTTAACTGGTTGAACCTCCTTTGGCAGCAATAACTTCAACCAAACGTTTCCTGTAGTTGCAGATCAGACGTGCACAACGGTCAGGAGTAATTCTGGACCATTCCTCTTTACAGAACTGTTTCAGTTCAGCAATATTCTTGGGATGTCTGGTGTGAATCGCTTTCTTGAGGTCATGCCACAGCATCTCAATCGGTTGAGGTCAGGACTCTGACTGGGCCACTTCAGAAGGCGTATTTTCTTCTGTTTAAGCCATTCTGTTGTTGATTTACTTTTATGCTTTGGGTCATTGTCCTGTTGCAACATCCATCTTCTGTTGAGCTTCAGCTGGTAGACAGATGGCCTTAAGTTCTCCTGCAAAATGTCTTGATAAACTTGGGAATTCATTTTTCCTTCGATGATAGCAATCCGTCCAGGCCCTGATGCAGCAAAGCAGCCCCAAACCATGATGCCCCCACCAACATACTTCACAGTTGGGATGAGGTTTTGATGTTGGTGTGCTGTGCCTTTTTTTCGCCACATATAGTGTGTGTTTGTTCCAAACAACTCAACTTTTGTTTCATCTGTCCACAGAATATTTTGCCAGTACTGCTGTGGAACATCCAGGTGCTCTTGTGCAAACTGTAAACGTGCAGCAATGTTTTGTTTGGACAGCAGTGGCTTCCTCTGTGGTATCCTCCCATGAAATCCATTCTTGTTTAGTGTTTTACGTATTGTAGATTGGCTAACAGGGATGTTAGCATTTGCCAGTGACTTTTGTAAGTCTTTAGCTGACACTCTAGGATTCTTCTTCACCTCATTGAGCAGTCTGCGCAGTGCTCTTGCAGTCATCTTTACAGGACGGCTACTCCTAGGGAGAATAGCAGCAGTGCTGAACTTTCTCCATTTATAGACAATTACCGTGGACTGATGAACAGCAAGGCTTTTGGAGATACTTTTATAACCCTTTCAAGCTTTATGCAAGTCAACAATTCTTAATCGTAGGTCTTCTGAGAGCTCTTTTGTGCGAGGCATCATTCACCATCAGGCAATGCTTCTTGTGAAAAGCAAACCCAGAACTAGTGTGTGTTTTTTATAGGGCAGGGCAGGGCAGCTGTAACCAACACCTCCAATCTCATCTCATTGACTGGACTCCAGTTGGCTGACATCTCACTCCGATTAGCTCTTGGAAATATCATTAGTCTGGGGGTTCACATACTTTTCCCACCTGCACTGTGAATGTTTACATGATGTGTTCAATAAAAACATGGCAACATTTCATTCTTTTTGTGTTATTAGTTTAGGCAGACTGTGATTGTCTATTGTTGTGACTTAGATGATGATCGGATCCCATTTTATGACCAATTTGTGCAGAAATCCATATCATTCCAAAGGGTTCACATACTTTTTCTTGCAACTGTGTATAAATATATATATATATATATAAAAATAACGTTATTCCAAGTGTATTTTTAATATACATGAGAGCTCAGGCAGGCCCCCTGCAGGCACTGCACAAACTGGCTATTCCGGCCATGTGATCGCGAGGCTCCCTTCTGAGATCACATGACAAGGAAGGGCCGGCTCGGGCAGTGGGGGTCTGCCTGAGCTACCAGGCAGACCCCAGGATCGCGATCGCCAGCTATCAGGTAAGTTTCTATTTGCGTACCTGGTACGTCCAAGGTCGGAAAGGGGTTAATCATACATTTCTATTCCTAATGTTATAGTGTTCCTTTAATTAAGAAAAGAAAGTTACAGAATGCATTAAAAAAAAAAAAAAAAAAGTACAAAGCCAGAAACGTATGGTTAATGCGTCAATAAATTACCTTTATTTTGGGAACCTAACACTCTATAAATTGCTCTGACATCTAAAATGAAATCCAAAGTGGTAAGGAAGAAAATAGAAATATTCACGCTACATTGTGCAAACCTGCAAGAACTGATTTAATTATATATCTTGTTGCAACATCTGTTTTGCTTCGTGACTAGTTCTAGAATAAAATGAGATTATCTCTGTGTTTACGGAAAGGGACAGCCCATACAGTGCAGTTTTTAGACTAATGGTATGATACAAACGAAAATCAGTCCTTATGCATAGAAAGTCATTGCTCCACCTGTAGGCACATGTTTCCTGTAAATGATTAAACACTTTTTCAGGCCATGTACTAATTTAGTATTTATTTTTTTATTCACTGCTTTTATTAGCACAGTTGATGTGCTAAACTGTGAATGCAATGTGTTAAGAATGAAAGCAAGAGAGTTGTAATACTGATATGGAGATATAGCAAGTTATTTGCTCAAGAATGTAGACTCCCTTTTCCTCTGAACTGGGCTTTCTATACTGGCAGAATACCCCGCTTCTAGTATTCTAGGTGGGGCCATAGTAGGGAAAATGCGTCTTGCTTTACAAAACAAAATATTGCTGGCAAGTGCGCCAACCATCTCAAATATTGCACAACAAGCATTAGGTAGGTATGCTCAGCTCAACAACCACAGACCGTCAAAACTAAAGCAATACTGAAACAGCATTTAAATTGATGAATTTGATGGTATTTGTGTGAGCAATCTCAGAAACCACAATCTCCCAATATGTTGATGTTAAAATGTAATGTTCATTTAAATATGCACTATTCAGGAAGTTGGAAACATCGGAATATTTTCCTCAGTATTCTCGCACTGTATGATTTGTACGTATGGAATTTGCTGACAATTTCTGAAAAGACAGATTAGCAATTTTTTTACCCAGAGATATGTGGTTTGGTTTTGCATGTCAAGGAAGTGCAATTTCTTTATCTGTATGTAGAAGATATTTTCTCTAATTGCAAGAGCATTCCTAAAATTAAATATCAACCTTAGAAAACCAGCTTGTATTGGTGATATGAAGAAACTATTGTGCTGAAAATACTATTTCAATATAAACAGACATACCAGTATATTTTGCAAAATCTGTTAATTCCAACAGTAATACATGGCAATCGGGAAATACCAAATTACTCAGATCAAGTCATGTGGGCTGAGGACTCATGTTCTGTGGTCACTCTGCCACAATATATAAGAGAAGACTGAGCAAAACCAGTGACGTTGAATAGGCTTGACAAAGACACTATCAGGGTTATTTAGTAAAGTGAGAACGCAAAGTGAATTTCAAATTAAATGAGAAAAAAAAAAAAAGCCAAACTGGAAAAATTCTCTACGTTAGCTATACTTTCAATTTAACAACTCAGGCACTTGAGTGAATAATCATGTGGGTGTCAAAACTTTGCAAGTCGGACAAATGACATTCACACCTTCAGTGTTGCCAAATACTTTTTTCATGAATATATTGGCGCTAAAATTATTCTTCAAGAAATATGAAAGCTTACAATCTGAGTGGGTATAATCTTGAACAATTAAAAAACTACACATACATTTTCTTATACTAACCAAGTATCCGATCAGCCTTTTCTGATGCTCTAATTACAGTATCTGACTTTCCTCTGCCTTATCCATAACGTGGAATTTGCTTATCATTTTAAATAATTACCACAACACAGACAGTTTTGGTGAATGTTGCGTTAATCATGGAGACTGAACATTTTCAAGCAAAGAAAACTTACCACTCATAATGTAATAGAATGTATAAATTAATGAGAACTATTTAAAATATCCTGATATCAATATTTGGAAACTGGACAACAATGTGCAAGTGATTCACACAGATGTTTTTCCTCCTAGTAGCACCATACCAAGTAAGCTACTGAATACCACCATCCTCTCCTCAAAGCTTTTTATGCTTTCAAACCCATAAGTAACAGTGATATCTATAGGATTATTTTAAAAGCTCTGGACTGTTTGCAGTCACCAATGACCAAAACGACAATTGGTATTGTGAAAACAAGAAAAGAAAAGCAAACATTTAGGGGTCTATTCTCTTGGAATTTTAGCATGCAATAACAGCTCGCCTGGCAGTTTTCCCAACTCTGTTATAGTCACAGCTTGGCTTCTTTAGTCTGCATTTTGTCATACAGTGTTGCATTTGCTACAGTTTGGAGTTTAGTGAATAGCCATGTTTATGTCTATTTAGTATACAATGCATTGCTAGCACACATAGGCAGACTGTGCACATTGATACTTGAATTTCAAAGGTTATGTTTAATTAACAAAACTAAAGGATAAAGAAAAGTACCAGTGATCATAAAACTATAAAGCAACACCAGGCCATTAAAGAAAAACTATAGTGCCCCCCTCGGTCAAACCCCACCCCCATTGTGCAGAAGAGGTTAAAACACATTCTGTAACTAACCTGATTCCAGCGCTGATGTCCCTCTGCGCTGGTTCAGGCTCCACCTCTGCTCCTCCCCCGCTGGCTGATGGAATGGCCAGGCTCGCGTTAGGACTTCCCCTGTAGGGAAGCATTATACAATGCTTTTCTATGTGGTTTTCCAAGGTCACTGGACGTCCTCAAGCATAGCGTGAGGACATGCACGCAGCGTCAGTTGGGCAACCAAAAGTCGCATAATGACCCAGAAGTCCCTCTAGTGGCTGTCTGGTAGATGGCCACTAAAGGTGGAGTTAACCCTCAAAGGTAATTACCTTGCCAGGATTAAAGGACCTGGGAAACTGCACCTAGACCCCTTCAATATGCTTAAGTGGTCTGGGTACCTATAGTGTCCCTTTAAAGGCTAATGCTTCCCATGCAGACTCAATGGATTACATTTTTTATGAAAAGCATTGGAACGGTGCAGCCCGATAATTACCACGCATTCGCCCTATAACCCAGATGCATCTCTATGAGAAACATTGCATGGGACAAAATTGCAGAACTGTCAGAACTGGTGAAACCATCGGAAGAGTGGCTGCAAAAAGAAATTGGTCCCAGCTCTGATTTCATGTTGGGAGGTGGGGGTTAATAATGGGGCAGTAATCTTACGTTAAAAGTAACCCTATAATGTTAAAATAAACTATTTAGGGTGTTCTCTTTTAGTTTCATATTAGTATAATGTATGAAACTGGAACCAATAGACAAAGACTAAACAGTTTCATACATGTGGAATAATAAAATCTGGATATATGCAAGCATATTTTTTTATTTTTTTTGCCTCATGCACATATGTTTTGAAAGGCAAAAGTAAATACTAGAGTTCATTCTACAAAAAACAGGAAGCATAGATTCTAAAGGAAGGAAATACTAAAACATTCTGACTAGAAGCTCATATTGCTGGGATATGAAGACTAATGACACATTTGATGGTGTGTCAATACTACGTTAATAATCATCCATTTTTACATGGATGCATAGTGGCTATTCCTACAACAGACATGTTTTAGAATTATAGTGCACAGTATACAATAACATTATTTTTGCTTGCAGTATTAGGAAGTATTTGTACTTTCATTCTCTTAAAATAAATATACATATCTAGGGCTTTGAGACAACCTCAGCTCTAAATAACTACAAGGTCATAATTCTCTGCCAACCAAATCTTTTATTGGCTTATGGGAGCTACACTTCAAAAACCTGTTGCGAAACGCAACAGGTTCATTGCAAAGAAGAAGTTACTATTGTCAGAGTAAAATAAATACCTTAAAGTGCCTCAAGCAGAAATGTGGATACTTGTATTCATACATATAAAAAAGTCATTAGGTATGTTCAGTAGGTGTGAATACTCAGAAACATAATAATGCAACATATCCACAACATATGCAAAATGCACATGGGTTAGTATAAAGTCAAAGTGGTAATCTGATTAGTTATTATGCAACTAAAATAAGTTCAATTAAATTGGTAAATGGTAACGCCCACTAAACAATCAGTTATTTGTTTAAATCATTTTGTGGCAATATGAAAGGTTATCTTTAAAATATACTTTTTAATACACTCTATATACTCATTTATTTGGTAAAGTAACTTGCCACGAATTCAAGATTTAAATATTCAACCAAAATAACTGAAGGAAAAGAAATTAAAAAAAAAACTTTAAAACAAACTTTCATTCACTTCACGTTCAATTTCAGTTTATGATTCATAGACTATGCTCCTACTTGTTGCAGATTGAAATGTAAAAATTAAGCCTCAACTATAGCGGATTCTAAGTTTATTTTCAAATCAACAATTTTTTCCCTTAAGTTTTTGCCACTTTTAATTCGCTACAATACAACATTTAGCGAATGGCCCTGATTGATTTCACAACAATTCACATGTTAGTGAAGAACAGGTGTCAAATTACAAAGTTTTGTATATTATTTCAGTTTTATAGACAGATTCCCTGTGGCTGTAGTACTCCAACTCACACGAACCACTGACATCCTTAACTTCTATGATGGGAGTTGTAGTTGCTTTTAGATAACAGATGGGGATCCAACTCCGTCCCCCTGCATACTGTATCAGCAGATTATTACTACAGGGAAGTAGCTGTGTCCAGATGTGCTCCTGTTTAGCACAGCCCTGAGCACAAACAGTGGACACACACAGACAGACAGACAGGCAGACTGAGAGCTGGGATGTGTACAGTGCTGTCAGTGTACACAGCGGCAGGAGCCAGCCTGCAGCTTACTGCACATGAAGGACTCTCATACACTGGCCATGACAAGTTAACACAAAGTAGGCACACACCCACTAGAACCGGTTAGTAGGCAAAGAGCTGCACTGTTAGTTGTTTATATGCTGATCCCGCCGCCCGCCTCCTGCTAGCACCCCAGGTCTCTCACCCCAAGTCCCAGCTGTTCCTCTCTCCAGCTAGCGAAACGTGAACGCAACCCGCGCACAACGCGTGCTCCCGCCAGACTTCCTGTGAGCGCGCCCTAGCACGGAGAGGGGCGTGGCCCGAAGGAGATACACACGCTTGAGACAGTGGGGGGACATGTACTCTCACAGACAGATACATACATACACTCACACACATACACTCACAAACAGATACATACACTCACACACATACACTCACAAACAGATACATACATACACTCAGAGTCACACACATACACTCGCAAACAGATACATACACTCACAGTCACACACATACACTCACAAATAGAGAGTTACACACATACACTCACAAACAGTTACATACATACAGTCACACACATACACTCACAAACAGTTACATACATACAGTCACACACATACACTCACAAACAGAGAGTTACATACACTCACAGTCACACACAGGGCCTGCCTTAGGCCATTAGGCGCCCTGTGCAAAAAGTCTTCACGGCGCCCCCCCACCAAGTTGCCTGTATACAGCCACACACACAGGCACAGGCAGATAGTCACAAAACCAGTTACAATCAGATAGTCAGACACGCTCAGTTACAGGCAGACAGTCACACAAGCTCAGTTACAGGCAGATAGTCACACAGCCAAACACACAGTTAAAGGCAGACAGACTCACAAACAGTTACAGGCACACAGTCACAAGCAGTCACACATACGCCATTAGAAGCAGACAATCATACACACTCAGTTACAGGCATGCAGACACTCATGCACGCTGATAGGCACACATACACACTCAGTTAAAGGCAGTTAGTCACACACACAATGGCACAGCTACAGCGACACACACAATTGGAGTCACACACAGTGGTGTATCCTGGTTTTGTGCTGCCCTATGCAGCAAATACATAGAAATGAGCTTTGAATTTCATAGGTCCTCGGTGATGGCTTACCTTGACACCCCAGATATTTGGAATTGACTGAAGGATGGCTGAGCATCAATGAGGAATGTAGTTACCAAACATTTGGGATGTCAAGAACACCTATCACACTAGGCAGGGTGTTTCAGATCCATCATGGTTTTAAAGAGGCATGCTACGTCTACATATCAATGGCCCATGGAAATGTGTTTATTGGAAATTGTGATTGCAATGCAAAGAAGGGATTATTATCATTATTTTTATATTATTACTATATATAATATATTATTATTATATTAGTACACTGATGGCTAACCTTTACACCATAAATTGTTTCTGGACTACATTTCCCATGGTGCTCAGCTTGCTTTTAGAGTCTAAAAGCTAGCTGAGCATCATGGGAAATGTAGTCCAAAAACAATTTATGGTGTCAAAGTTAGCCATTACTGACCTAGTAGCAAACCGTTATAGCGTTTTTAAAGGAATACTACAAGCACCACAACCACTACAGTTAACTAGTCGTTATGGTGCCAGTTGTGCTCTGGCACTCCCAAACCATTTTCTAACAGTTTAACTTCTTTCTCTGGTCATTGGCGATCAGCTGATGCTCTCAGCCAATAAATTGGCCCTGCTCAGGAGCATTAAAGCACCACTATAGGCACTTAGACCACTTCAGCTCAATGAAGTGGTCTGAGTGCCAGGTCCCCCTAGTTTTAACCCTGCAGTTGAAAACATACACTGCAAGGTTAACCCAGCCTCTAGTGACTGTCTCCCTGACAGCCACTAGAGGCGCTTCCGTATTCTCAGTGGGAAAATCGCCCTCCATGAGGTCGTCAAGCATAATTTCAGAAACCCATAGGAATGCATTGAGTAATGCTTTCCTATGGGCAGGTTTGAACACGCGCGTGACTGCATGCGCTTTCGGAGCTAACATCTGGGTGGAGAGGTTACCAGCGCTGAGGGAGCCCGGCTCTGGATTGCGGTAAGTGGCTGAAGAGGTTTTAACCCCTTCAGCCCAGCGGGTGGGGGGACCTATTAACCCTATAATGCCAGGAAAACGGGTTTGTTTTCCTGGCACTATAATGTTCTATTAACCCTATAGTGCCAGGAAAAAGGGTTTGTTTTCCTGGCACTATAGTGTTCCTTTAACAGAAAGTCCTAGCAGAAGCTTACAGCTCTCCCAGCAGAAGAGACACAAGGAACAGCTCCCCAATGACCTCAGGTAAAAAGTTACTGCATTCAGAGGCAGGGCATCAGATCACTCCTGGCACCATAACCACTACAGTGTGCCATAGTGGCTATGGTGCTTGGAGTGCTCCTTTAAAGATAATGTGCACCTACAGCACATTCAAAGATTAGTTGGTTTCCGAACCTTGACACTTATCAAGCAGATTTAAAACAGCCAATCTCCAGTTCCTAAGAATGTTAGTATATTTTTGTTTTAGTTTGGAAATACTTATATGGGTAGGTGGTTGAGTGAATATATGCCCGTGAGTTAGTGCCAGTGTGTGTTCATGAATGTGTATGAGTGTGTTTTTGGGTGGTTAGGCGTCAGTAGCAGGAGTGTGTTTATGCCCTTTAAGAGATCCCTCAAAAAAATTCTTACCTGTTCTATGTAAAATTTTGTATATATGTTGTTTATTAATATTCTTTTTGTATTTTATTGTACTCTATTGTAACTATGCAATGATTTGTGGACCCAGGACATACTTAAAAAATAGAAAAATCCTTCCTGGTAAAATATTTTATAAATTAATGAATAAATGTCAGTAGGTGTCAATGGGCCAAATGTGACTAGATGTCAGTTTGGTTAAGTGTTACTGCATTGTATATGACGATATGTGTCTGTGTTATTGTACGACTGTGTGTTATTGCCAATGTTTGTGTGAAAAAGTGTCAGTTTACGAGTGAGTGTGTACAGGTAGGTCATATCTCTTAAGTGTCTCCCTTTCTGACTCAAACCCTTCTTTTTCTCTTTTCAAGGTGCTCAAATGTGTATTTTGCACTAGCCTTCCCCATAGGAAAGCATTTTGTATCAATTCTTAGAGATGTGCATGGGCAAAAAATTTGGTTCGGACCTCGGCAATTTGGGACTTCGGCAGTTTGGTTTGGCACTTCCGAAATTCGGGAATTCAGCAGTTCCCTAACCCTACTACCTTTAACCTTAACTACTACCCTTACCCTTAACCCTAACCCCACCTCTGACCCCTAACACTACCCCAACCCTACCCTAACACTACCCTTACCCCTAACCCTGCCCTAACCCCAGGGTTAGGAGTAGGCTTAGGGGTAGGCTTAGAGTTAGTTTCCTGTCATCATTCCCTTAATTTTCCCTCCCTCTCCTGTTTTGCCACTTTTCAGAAATCCGAAGCACTACGGCACTCCCGAAATTCGGCAATTCGGAGATTCAGAAGCATCTAAATGTCCGAATTGCCAAAATTCAGACCGAAACCAATTGCACATGTCTATCAATTCTTTCCTATGGGGATTTTTCAGAAGCTTGATGTTCTCATGCACAGCGTGAGGACGTCCAGCATCAGTTAGGCGACTTTTGGTTGCCTAACCACCTGGTAGGAGTTAACCCCTCATGGTAATTATTGCAGAAACTGCTATACGTAAACGTGCAGAGTTAAGGGGAGTGGGACACTGCACCCAGACCACTTCAATGAGCTCAAGTGGTCTGGGTGCCTATAGTGTCTCTTTAAGCACACACTCTGACAGTCACACACACACACACACACACACACACTCAGTGGCAAACACACAGACATCACTGACAGACTCACTGGATTGACACACACACATTCCCCAACAGACATGCTGGCAGATACACACTGACAGTCACACACACACTCAATGACAAACACAGAGACGTCACTGACATACACAGACTCACAGATCTGACACACACTCATTGACAGACAAGCACTGATAGTCACACACAGACTCAATGACAAACAGACTCCCAGTGATTTGACAGATACTCACAAACACACACAAACACACTGACATACACACAGACACACTCATACACTCACATGCACACACACTCACAGACACACACACTCACTAATTACGGTATAAATATTATTAAAATACTTTAATAGCCTCCCTCCCTTGAGAGCTTATGTGGATCTGTCCCTGGGGACCAGTGGGGCTGCTTGGAGGCGTGCAGCTGTATTGGAATCCAAGGAGACAAGGGAGCTTTGCTCTCCTTGCTCTGCTCCCTCGTGTCTCGCGGACTGTCTACTGATGCCGGGAGCCGGGATATGATGTCCCGTTGCAATCAGCAAACTGTGAGGGAGCAGAGCAGGGAGATCAGAGCTCCCTCGACACCTCGGATTCCAATACAGCTACACGCCGGGGGGTCCATATGGTGGCCAGCAGGCCACATCTTGGACCCCACCCATGAAAGGGGGGAGCAAAGGGGATGCCCAGCTGGGCGTTTAGGGCGGCATTTTTTTCCGCACCCTGGTTAGTGCCGCCCAAAGAAAATGCCTAGTTTGCCTTGGGTTAAATACATCACTGTTTATAGGTGCTCTCTATAATATAAGAGAAACAATGGGCAGCAGTGGATCACACAAGGATTCCCAAATCTAGAATGTAGCAAGAAAAAAAACAGAAGAAAACAAGTGTACACCATGCCAAAAATCTCTTTCTGTGAATACGTACATGAAATACTGGAATATTCCAATTAGATTAACCTCAAATGAGAGACAAAACAGAACTAATAAGAGTGCAATATAGTCTGATAATATGGATATATTTGTGCAAATTGCTTACAGAGGGTTCACTCACATTTTCCAGAGCTATATTAGAGCTCTGCTTTTGTGTGCGCAGATGCTATAATCTCCATCTCAGAATACATGTTGGTCCGAGTGACTCCCATGTGTCTTTTATACAGGTAACGTGAGTGCTAAAGTGAGTGCTCCTAATCTTAGCTAGTTACCTGTATAAAAAACCCCTTTCCACAGAAGCAATCAATCAATCAGATTCCAAACTGTCCACCATGGCCAAGACCAAAGAGCTGTCCAAGGATGTCAAGGACAAGATTGTAGACCTACACAAGGCTGGAATGGGCTACAAAACTTGGCAGCTTGGTGAGAAGGTCACAACAGTTGGTGCGATTATTCGCAAATGGAAGAAACACAAAATAACTGTCAATC